ATTCTTATGGCGATTTTGCATGACAAATGTAACAGTGCTGTTTGATACGAATCGTTTATAATTGCATATTAATGTCAAAGATTTAAATTATTAGCGCTTATATTATTTATACGAGAAGATACTACGGACGTTTGTTTTGCCGTCAATTTCACTGAAAAACTACGGTAACTTGTATCTTCATCATCAGCGTAACCTTCGATGAAATCCTCTTGCACGTGTAATTCCCGGCATTCTTCCCTAATGGGAAAGCGGTATCAAGACTGTTATCCTCACTGACTCATGGCCAAATTCGTAACATTCTCCCGCAATAATCCTGCCGTGATTATCAACCAACGGAATCTTGTCAAACGCGACATTTGCCCCAAGAGACATTCGCTCTTTTCCTTTGACGCAAGCTCTGCATTCCTAAGATAATTTTTCGCCATTATTCATACAATGTGCGGTAAATCGATTGGTACTCGTCGATAAATCGATGTGCATGCATGTACGTCACGCAACGTAAAATTTAGAAAGATGTGAACAGATCAGACGACGTAAGTAATCATCGTTGTATTTACGTTACGTAAGATTTGCCTTAGCAAGCACGTAACAAGGGCAAGCGGTATGGTCGCGGTGGAGTTGAAGATTTATCACGAAGATATTTACATCGCAAGGACAAGACGATTAGAAATGCATAACTCGATGGGATTTAAATCTGAATATTCATACCGTCAATGAGTGTAATAATGAGTGATGGCGTCCCACGCGCGGAATAAATATTCCGCTGAAATCGCCGTAATACTATTAAAAAAAACTCATGTATATATTAAACAGAATCTACATATTTCGCTTGATCGGATAATCACTTTACTCGTCAATGAAAACCTCGCGCAATCTTTTGAATGGATTTTTGCAGCCGTTGCCGCAATCAGGATGTACGTAAACGTGTGCGTATTACATATTGTATTGTTTTAATAAACCTTCATAAGTTATTTCCGAATGCTACGATTATTTTTATATTCTGCCAGGATTAATTAATAACATTTTGCACTTTTAATGTGAGCGTTTCGTGAATCATGCAAATAAATCAAGCAAAATTGATATTAATAATTGAAATAACAGAAAAGAAAGACACTAGGGGTAATGGGAGCCGTCACCTGATGGGTGATAAATAATAAATATAAAATTCAAAGTATATATATTAAAGAGGTGGTATCATAAGTTTACAAAAAGTTAGACGTTTTGGTAATGAAAGTGACTCTCTTCAGTAACATTCTGATTAAAAACCGCCAAGTCATTATTTGAACGGTGATGAGTCGTTGCAAATGAAGTTAATTGGAATTAAAATATATAAAAATCATAGAACGTCAATTAAGATATACGCAGATTATGCGTAATATAAAAAGCTGAACACTTATGTAACCGTAATCCATCGTGATTTTACAGCAAAGTATCTCGACAGTCTAATACTTATTGTTAGTTGGGTATCGGAGGGTCGTCTACGGACTAAAGTTAAATAAAAATAATAAATACCAGAGGTGCGTCAGAAAAAATAAAAAGTAAAAGATTGTAAAGAAATTAATAAAAACAAATGAGACAAATAAAGTAATAAATTAATTATTGAAGGGAAACGAAATAAAAAGGGAAACGCTTACTGTGGAAAAGACGACGGAAATCCTGCAGCACAAATGAAAGAAGCAATAAGCGGATGTCCGATTTTTTTCAAATCGACTTTCCGATCGTTTTCCGATTTATTTTTATTGGGGATCGAAACTGCTGTCCGTTACAGCCCGGTACACAACCGGGATGTGCAATATGCATATGACGAAATTCGTCGAAATCTGATGCGTCACTCCTCGCCGCTGTAACGCAATTTGTTTTCCGTTTCGATGATTGACTTTAGCCTCCACGTGCAAAACGTCAACCGGAAAATGTTCCGGCACCGTTTCCATATTCCGTATTTCCAATTAATGTTGGTAGAAAAGGACGCACGAAGAGTTCTCTCAAATCTCCTCTTCTGCCGTCACTCTGTTCTTCTACATAAAATGTACAATAAACCATATATTATGTTCTTGTACATATACGAGATATTTTTTTTCTTCGATGAAATCTCTTTTATCAGAGACTAAAGCCTAATTTCTTACGGAGAATTGTTGAACGCATGAACTGTAAGTCAATTCGAAAAGAGTCACAAGGAAGACTAGGCTTGTTCATTTTTTGAAAAGTTTGACAAATAGAAATTGTAATACAGCAACGTGAATAATTTAATCTGAAAATATTACAGTAAAATAAATGCGGTAAGAGTAATATCGTTATATCTTCTCCGCTATGTTTTCGTATTGTGTCTATTTCACGCAATTGAGCGACGCAGAATGTAACAAGACCGACTCTCAAGGTTCTTATCCCCTGCCAGATGCTTTCAACGGCAAAAGCACTGTTTCATAACTTAACCATATAATACATGCAATTTACTTCTTTAATAGAAATCCTCAAAGCTGGAGCAAAAGGAAATATAAGTTTCTCCGTTTTAAGAAAGGGAGAAAAGAAATATCCGCGAGCGCGCGCGCGCGCGCGTTTGATCCACTTTCGCGGTTCTCATATCTGTTAACGTTGAACCGATTGAAGCAATAGCGTTTCGAAGTTTATAACATTTGATGACACTCGGCAAGAGCATAAGTAAGAGCAGGTTAAAGGGAACGTGCCTTTTTCTTGTGACGTGTAAATAAATTAATAAAGCCTGAAACTTACGTTTCATTAGCTACAATATAAATCCGTTGCCACCGCATCACACTATCCACATAACTCGGCATCTCCCTTTACGAGATGGAAATTCTTTTTGCCGCGATTTATTCACGGTACCCTTCGCTACTCACTCGGTCGAATAATCGATTGACGTGTAGATCTTACTAGTGACAAAGGTGGAAATGAGGGGGCGAACATCCTCGTTTAGCCAGCAAGAGATAAAATCCTGCATCGCGGAGGAAAAAACTGTCAATATTTCTATCACAATTACCTTAACCACTTTATCGATCGTCGCGGGAACACTTGCTTTAATGATTCAATGAAATCCAGCTATAAATTGAGGAGTCATGATTGAAAAATAAAACGTCAAGTGAGATTTTATTCAACATCACACTCGTTTAAATATCGTGCATTGAAAATTGCGCTTTTGAGTAATTCTATAATCTCATAGTAAAATAATTCTGTTTTTGTTCCGTTCCTCCGATTTTTTCTCCGTGCACAATTTTTCCACAAATTTGTGATACTAAACATCCAGAATGAGAAATTTACCGAGTGTTCTCATTTTCCATAAGCCGCTTCTGTTTACGTAGTCTTTTAATTACGAGCAACATAATACAATCACGATGGTCCAATTGTTTAATTAATTAACCTCTCGTACTTTATTTACTTCTCCGTTACTTATCAGCTAATGAAATGCAAGAAGACCGAATATTTAGTAAAGACATCACGACAGATTACACATTTCTTTAGTTCTATTTTTGTATTCAGTTACTAATTCGAATTACAACTGTAAATTCCCTTTGTCTCTCTTTTTGTGTTTTTTTTTCACTCGAGAAATATCGCTCAAAAGTACCATTTAGATATATTTTGCACATCACGTGTGAACAATCGGTCAAAAATATTGCAACAGTGAGCAACTTAGTACAAACTTACTAAAAGTTATAGCTTTAAGCTGAGATTAAAAAAACTTGCACAATCTTCTCTTGAACGCACTTCAAAATATAATGAAACCATACGTATAATGTTTCACAAGAAATTACAAGGCTGTTATCAGCTTTCGTTCATTCAACTTTTGTTACGATACGCGAAATAATTAATTGAGAGACTAAAACACCCGAATTGATTTTATTAAAAAGCACTTATAATAGAAATGGTTCATTGAATAGCGGAAAAACATGTCTCCTGCAAAACACTGCGCTCCGAATACATCTCGATGTCGCGAAATTAATTAAATATTCTCCTCGCCGCGAGAATCGCTGAGCTTGTCGTTCAGCAAATTACCTCCGGTTGATTTTGATGATGTCGAAACTCTCATAAGATTCAAATACGCATCCTCGCCATTCAGAATCCATCCGCCGTGTCAGCGTGAACATCTGCATTCCGATTCATTCGAATTGCAAATGTGAGATAATGACAACTAACGCATGGCCGAATTTAATCGAGCACGACGGGTCACTCTCTGGAAGCGGAAAGCTCGCCTCTCGTTCGTTTTTAAACGATTCCTACGAAATGATTCCTATCGGATACTGCGCGATATCCATAAGTACTTTCTTTTTTTCCGACCGTAGCAGGAACGCTCCGTTTCTCCGCTTCTTTCATTTCCCAAACGTTTTGTGAAAAATGGTAATGTTCAGAAAATGTATCATCGTTTCTGCCTGCAAACACACTGCTCTCTTATATTTAGTTATTATACTCGCTTATATAACAATTACTAATTGTTTGAGCATCGTGAGATGATAGAGAATTTATTAAAATACAATGTAAAATGTAATTGGCATTTTCTGCAAAATCGTCTCAAGATATAAAATTTCAAAGCTAATATAAGGAAGAAAATAGTGTGTATTTTTGTAAAAAGAATTGTCCGTTTAAATTACATTTATATAAACTCTAATATTCGCACAAACTGAATGCTGAAATCAATTTTCCGATATCCAAAGGATCGTCTACAATAGATGAAGTAAGCCCGGCGTAAGAAGTAGGAGTAAGGAAATGAATAATTTCCATTTCTTACTCCCACTTCAGCTCTGACGCTTACTCTCGGTGAATTAGAGCGCGGTTCGACCAGTGCTACAAATATTTTAAAAAATTATGCCTGCACTTTAGCTTTTACATTGATAAATAAAGGTCACGGTTTTCTTATTTCTTACACTTGTTCTACTGCTTATTTCCAATGTAAACGGTCCTTTAGACAAAGGATAATTATACAATAGTTACATTTATACAATAGATACAATTTCAAAGAAAATATAATTAGAAATGCGGGTATATGTTTGTTTCAGAAAGTGAGCGGATATAACAAAGTTGTGAGGGAAAGATGAAGAATCAAATGAGGTGAATTGAAAAGAGTTTCGAGGGACGTACCCCATATTCCTGTGTATCAAGTCAATTTCCGCTTCTCGATGCGGACATCAAGCTCGACGTTACGATAGCTTATAATTTTTTAACGGATCAATCGCCTTAACCAAGTCCAAATACCTTAGTCGCGAATCTCCAAGGGAGGAGTTTCTCCAATACGGTAGAAGGTTTGTCGAAGATAAAAGTCACGATGGCGCCGCAGGAAATTGCTCCCCTCAGATAATCCAAAATGTAACGGAAATCGAGGGATTAGGACCAGTGTATTCTGGCCGAGGCATTTTGCTGCTCCGATGAGATAATCGAATCGTGAACACATGATTGACACTTATGAAAAATCCTTCTTTCACTCCTGACCAATCGATCGCGAACGACAAATCATTCGATCAATCGTTCGTACTATTGACCGAGCTGCGTCGCGGCAGCCTGAGAGACTTGGCGTCATGACATCACACGAAGGAGGGTGCGTCTACGACGAGGGACACCTGACCCGGAGAAGACCGCACAGACGAGGATAAGAACGAATTTTTCCTCTGCCGTGAGAGCGACAATGTCAACGCTACCGTCCACCACCTTCGCCGGGGAATTGACGACCACGCTCATACCCACCGCCGCCAGGATTGACACGCAGCTGGACCTCAATCGCGTCTCGTTGGTCCTGGCGGTCTCCATAGTGTGCATTCTTTCGCCCATCACCGTTACCGGTAACTCCATCATCCTCGCCGCCTTCTACAGGTACAAAAGACTCAGGACCGCTTCCAACTACCTTCTGGTCTCATTGGCCATTAGCGATTTCGGGGTAAGCCTTTCTTAATTTGCATCATGTGTTCTTAGTTGTTAAACGCGTGCACTTGTCGTACACATAATGTACTAAAAGTCAATCAGCGAATTATCACTGAAAACAGTGAATAGTCGACAAGTATACCACTGCAATTTTCAGTAGTATACTTTTCAGTGATAATCCACCGATTGACTTTTAGATAGTAAAAAAGGAACAACTATAGAATTTTACATAAAGGAGCCAAATCAAACTTAAAGAGTTCCCGAGAAAAGATAACATAGATGTAAACCGATACTTTACATGAAAGAAATTTATTATTATACATATATGTACGCTAATTATTTAACTAAACGTAGAGGACAGTCCCCTACTATGAGAGAAGTTTCTAATATGAGATAGCGAGATTGCTGCTAAATAGGCATCTGTTGGTTCCACCATGAATTTATTGCCCTTGGAGTGAAATCTACAGTAGAAAATTCATTGTTAGGTCGTGTAATCGTTGCGAAAGAGGATTTGTGATCGAACTTGTATGTTGAAAACTTGCTATTAGAAGCCTATCTCATAATAGGGAACTTTCCCTTCTACGTTTTATTGCGTCTCGCGATACGTGAACAAATCTATTTATCTATATGAGTAGCTGGATTATACAGCTGAGAACAATTGCCACTGATGCTCTATAGTACTCTCACGTGTAAACTGGTATCAAACGACGCCAATCTCGCTGTATCGTCGCAAGTCCGATTTACGGACTGACGTTTCCTCGCGGCAGCGAGACAACTTAGTTAGATCCGCAATAAACGGACGACGCCCGTTTTCGTTGGTAGATTGGCGTGTTTATGCCAGTCGGGATGCAGCTGGAGCTCACCGGACTACCGGAAAACGGCGATTCCACCCTCTGCGTCGTCCCGTACTGCATTGTGATCGCGCTCTGCAGCGTAAGCGTTTTGGTCACCGTCGCCATCGCGGTGGACCGTTTGACTTCGCTGGCGCAGCCACTGCGATACAAGAACATCATCACCCACAGCAGCGTAGAAAAGTACATCGCGGTCTTTTGGATATACGCGATCGCCGTCGGCCTCTCGCCCCTCATCTATGCTCAAATCACCGGAGGGGTGCAGTCGCACAGGTAACGACATTTACTCGGCGTTGACATTTCCATAAAAGAAAACTTCAGTAAATACAGGCTGGCAAGATATTACGGTACACACCAGTCAAGCGCAATTCATTTAATAAATATAAATGGCGACTGGTCGCGGTATTAACTCTCCACGGATTTCAGATAAATTTATTATTGAGACCCGACGCAACGAATGTACGAGGGGGACTTGTAATCTGGGAAATGTTATCTCAAGTAAAACTACCTAATTGAGGTTTAGGTAGAATAATATACGAACCATTTAGTTTAATCAGAGGTATATCGATATACGCGCGGGTTTTCTCTGCTGTATCTCATGTCGTTTCGTTGCACCTTTCACCACCAAGTTTTCCATAGGAAAATTACAAAGGAGAGAAACGATACACGTGCAATTAGTGTGAAATTTCGAATCGCGCTTTTCCATCTCGGGATAAAGTGATTCGCTTCCATTAGAACTTTCCAAAACAAAATTAGCTTCACCGCTATAAAAGTCTATTTTAATTTTCTCCCATACGAATAGAATTACTTGTACCGGAAGAAATGTGCAAACAAAACGCACTTGCATTTGTCGAAAACATATCTCTCTGCAGAGAAAAGGACAACTCCCCATGACGTATGACGTATCAGATGTATATTAAGTAGAATTGTCACGAAAACGCTATTTAAAATGCACAGGGACAATTTAATCATTTGAATAGTGAATCCAAGCCCGACACCTTACTCGAGAAGTTCAGCGACGTTAATATCTCGTTGATTGAAATTTAATAAATTCGTCCTTTACGTCCTTTTATCGGTAGCACTCGCGCTGATTATACCGAACAAATCCTTTAACGCGCTGCGCTCCTATGAATAGAATTGCGGGAAATTCTATTAAATTAATAAATTGCGCAATGAAACCAAGCCCGACAACTTATTCAAAAAGTTAAATGACGTTGATATCTCGTTGAGTGAAATTTAAGAAGTAAAATTCGTCTTTTGCGTCTTTCATCAGTGGCGCTCGCACTGATTATACCGAACAAATCCTTTAACGCGCTACATTGCGCTCCCATGAATAGAATTGCGGGCAATTTTATTAAAGTGCTATCCGCAAATATCAACATGATTTATATGCATCACAAATAAACCTGTGACACGTGGCATGTCGAAGGAGGTGGATACATTGCGTGACTGGAATAATAACTAAAATCTAGATAAGTGCATTTATGCGCTGCATACACAAGATTGTAAGATATATTGCCGCAGATAGAAATCGAACAAAATGCTGTTACTCGGCACAATATATCGTGATGCGTTTTCAATCATATGTTTAATTACAACGCTGTCCATTTTTAGCAGCTATCAAAAAGTACGAATATACTACAGAGAGATACTTTTAGTATTTTTTTTAACTAGAAAGCAAAAGAATATAATATAATCGGATAATAAGATGCAATCTACAAAGTGAAAGTATTATTTGTAACTGGGACCTTTATTTAAAAAGTTACTTGTTAAACATTGCAGTCTTTCTGTTATCCTTGATTTGCAATAACTAAATTTTCATTTTTTTAAAGTTATTTTCATATTCAGCTTTACAATTAGTACCAGAAATTAGTCTAGATAAATATATTATTCCCCCCTCTCTCACTCTCTCCCTCTCTCATTCTCTCACGCACATATACAACCTTCGCTTTATTAATTTGCAGTTATAAGTAACTCTTCAAAGGCAAACGAAAGCAATTAACTCGGTATTTAGCAAACTTTTAACGCGATTTCACAAACAGAATTTCTCACAGTACTCAGTTCCATCAAGGCGCAATCGATGCGGCATAAAAAACAGAATATCAAATTATGCCGTTGTTAGAACTTGCCGCGACATTAGCTCCGCTACCTTGTATCGCTTGCATTGCCCGACGAAGTGGAAAAGCTTTTTACCCTGCAATGCTACAAATGGTGCGTAAGCACCGGTTAAGCGCCGCACTAAAAACGTAGATAAGAAGAGCGACGGGAAGGTGCTTTAACCCTTTGATATGTACCTTCCTGCAAAGTAATCTGGGAGAATCTCCCCGATCCGTTTATCTCGCTGCATTCATACGTTACGTTTATGAAATAGCAATACCAGAGAATTTATTAAACGGATCTTATGCGCAGCGTGTATGTTCGATACTCGCACGATCCTTTCGCCTGAAAAATATTCTGGTATATGACCGAGCTCCGAAAAATATTCTCTTTTAATTTAACGAATCGCAAAAAAAGGGGTAAATAAACGTTTGGAAAAAAGCATTGATATTTAATACTGGAGAGGTGTCGAATAATACCGTAGTTATTTGATTTGCGCGTTTATTTTGCGCGATGAAATCTTGGACTTTTCAACTTATCTTGCAGCGGAATATGCAGATTCGACACGGCCGTGCTACCGCCGGTCAGGGTGTTCCTGGTCGTGGCAGTTTGGGCACCGAGCGCCCTGGTTCTACTCGGCTGCTACATGTACGTCTATCTTGTCGCGCGCGCGCATGCACGCGCGATTTACACGGTGGAATTGTCGTTTAGACATCAAACGCAGACACTGGCGCTGCCCCGTTACGGACAGACACTGGCAGTCACTGTCGGCGCGTTTCTCGTCCTGTGGCTCCCATTCCAAGTGAGTATATCGCAGCGCACCGCTCAAAACGACAAACGGGCTTTCATTGCCGCGGAAGGACCGTAAGACTCTGATTTACACCGTGCTGGTGCGACGTCCCGGCTAGGAGACGCGACCGTACGTTCCTACATTGCGCCGTGTCTGACCATTAAAGCCCGTCACTACTTAAACGTCACGTCGGACGTGCGACGACATCAATTTCATTTCGTCGTCGCCGTGCTTACGTGCTCGCCACACTACGGGGGAACGAGATTTGAGTTTAATATAGTGTTGATAAAGCGGGGAACTCGACGAACAAGCGTGTATATTCGATGATCGCGTATCAGCGGCGGTGCAATAATGCAATTCGATAAAAAATAATTCGTATGAAAATATTTTCTACGATATAAACGTGCGATTTTGAAATATTCCCATGAAATATTCTCACCAAAGCTAAACCCGAAGGAACATAAGTAAAGGAATACCTTTTTTGAATATTTTACTCAAAAATTTTCGTAGCTTAGAACTGATAAGCTTTCAAGATTAAGCATACATTGATTTAGTCGAAATTTTTAACAGGTTGATTTGGAAAACAGAGGCATTGAAATATTGGATTAGAGTTTACTCGACTTTAATTTGTCTCATCTTGTCTTAAGGGAGCGAAAGTTTTGTTGAACGACCAAAAGATCAACGCAATTTGTCAAGTTACTAAGCGTTAGAACATATTTAGCGCAGTGCGAGATGTGAAGAAAGGAGAGAAACGCGATACTGCGCCGCGGTGATCTTCTTGTTACACTTTACGAACGACGCCTCGTAAAAGAGGAAACAGGAAACAATTGTAAACGTTTCCTCGAACGCCGAGTGCGCTAGATTTCTCTTCAGCGTGAAAAATTTGCTGTAGAAATAGAGTTTTATTCAACGTGTCCGTAAACGATGAACAAAGAATGCGTATTAATCATGTTAAATTATAGATTATAGATTACAGATTAACAGCACCCGTTTGAGGACGGTCCATTTTACGACTCTTCACTTTAACGAGCTTCCCAAAATTTCCTAAGCAATTACCTTAAGTTACTGGTAATTACTCTAAACGTTTAAATGAAATACGAGTGTAAACTAGAGCTCCCTAGTACACGTGTACTAGACTGCACGTGTAATCCGTGCATTCAACTTATCCGTGTTTTAACCCGTGTACACGAATTTAAAGAATCTTTATTTACGTGAATCCGTGAACACGTGTACACGAATATCCGCGAACGTACACGTGTACACGAACATCCGTGTATGTGACATATGTAAACGTGCAGCCGTGTGTACCTCAATGTATAGGGAAATATTTAGAGAACTATTAAGAATATTCTTAAAGTCGCCAGCAGTAATTATCACGAGACACGGTAGTGTCTCGCGCCAAGTGTAAGTAAATTAATAACATCGGTGATTTTTGTCGACCGTGTCTGGCAATTAAAATTCTTATTGCGAAAAATATTACCCCAGCCAGGATTCGAACCTGGGATCTGAAAAAGTCGAAATAGACGCGTAAACAACATCTTAAAGTTATATACACGTTATTGCGAATAGTATTATCACAGCCCCGGTGGTCGAGCTGGCTAAGACGCCCGTCACGGATTGTAGGGAGGTCCCAGGTTCGAATCCTGGCTGGGGTAATATTTTTCGCAATAAGAATTTGAGATATCTCGTAGATGATATATCCTGAATATTTTAAGGATATCACATTTCTGAAATCTCCTTAAAAATGGTTTATATATTTCTTTTTAAATAATGGTTTATTAATTAACTTTTCCTCAAAATAAGTTTTCTAAACTTATCCAGTCAAAAAGAAACAGTACGAAACAAAATAAAAAAGATAAATATGAGTTTACAATAATAGTATTGGGTAAGTTTTCCACTTTTGAAAAATTTCGAAATAAAGTAAGGCAGATTTGAATGAATCGGCGCGACGAACGTCTTCTTTGTCTTTCAGCTTGACTGTAGGAACCTATTCTCTTTGTCCCAGTGCAACGTAATTGTAATTGTAGCAGCCGCGAAAGAAACAGGATCGCACGACAATGTAAAACATAAGATTCTCCCCATCTCTAACACGTCTCTCCTCATTCGCAGACTTGCATGCTGGTGGACATCTTCTGCGGCACGAATATCCTGTCGGAATGGGCGGTGGTGTGGCTGGGTCTGCCGATCCTGGCGCACAGCGGCGCGAATCCCTGGATCTACGCCTTTCATCACGGCGAGATGCGCATCGCCGCCGGGAAAATTGCCGAGGATCTGATCAGTCTGCTCGGTATGACGCCGGGCCGTTACGGCTGCTCGCCGATAAGATGCGGCACCAACACGAACCTCGAGCTGGCCGAGGTGAACAATGAAGAGAGCAACGAGAGCAGGCGGCACCCCGTAGAGGATTGTTTCGCCGGCGCCAAGCACCACAGCGTTCTCTACAGCCGAAGATGCCTGGAAACATCGGGCAGGCACACCGATATCTCGTCCGAGAAGCACGACATCGAGCACGCCGCGTCCTGCAGCAGCCGAGCCGGCGACATCATCGAGGAGAACATTGACGACCTGACGAAGATGCTCGATCCGCGATACATCATCGACCGGAATCACGTGATCGACTCGAATCACAACATCGACAAGATCAAGAATCTCAAGTACCTGCTGGACCCGACCTTCAACAAGATCAGGCATCTCCGACGGTTGAATCACAAGCGAATGAACGGGAAGAGCTTGCCGTTGATTTCCGAGCCGAGATTTATATCTTATCAGAACCTGAAGAGCGACGGCGCGCACAGCAGCCGCAAGTTCCTTCAGCTGAACGCGCTGTCGGATCCGATACTGAACGTTGACACCTCGAAGGACTCGAACCAGGTAATGTGCCACGTAAACGCAGCTTATCAGAAGCGGAATCCGAACATGTCGCTGACCATGTCGGACTCGAATCTCAGAGCGACGACGGTGCGCGCGTCCGAGGCGGGCGCGAGATTCTTCCCGACGGGTGAGAACGGCGCGGAGGGTCGCGGCTACTCCGTGCAAAATCTCAACCGCGGATACGAGGGCGCGTTAGCGAGGCACGCGATGATGCTCTGCCAGCAGATGGAGGAGCAGCAGAGATCTAGCAAGGCTTCTTCCCGTCTTCCGCGACACAAGTTCCGCGGTCACTTCGGACGCGCGAGCCCGAACGTGAAGCACAAATTGCGTAACGGCTGCTCGTCGTCGTCGGTGCCCGGCAGCGTCAGGCCGGGTGCCGAGGCGATTGTGACGAGGCGAAGCGTGTCGCCGGGCGTCCCGCACGTGACCATCACGCCAAACAAACTGGCGAATCTCATTAATCTGGACCCGCCGTCGAGAACACCCGCGCACAGGATGAATTTTACTGCCAGAACCATGCAAACCCATAGGAACTCGGAGGCGTTGAAGCACTCCGAGTCGAGTAACGTGATCGGCGATCCGGTGACGCACCGCGCGACTCTACTGGAGCCCTCGAACTTGATGGACTCGCTGGTCGTCCCGACGATACACTCGGAACCGCTGAGTCCCATAGACCCTCTCCCCACGTCGTCCCTTCAGGCCGAACAGGCGCGGGACCTCGGGATCCCGAGGCCCGCCGTCGCGCAACGCGCTAAATCGCCGCTGGGCAAAAAGAGCAGTCCCGTAAGACGCTCCGATCCTATAGTGCCGACCGTACTGCTGAACATCGAGGACTTCAGCGAATCGTCCGAACAGAGTGACAATCAGACACGGGGTCAAGGGAACGACCTCCCGTCCGGTAACGCACTGACGTTAGAACCGATAGATCTCTTCGAAGCGCTGCTGAGGAACTCGGACAAAGGTAGGGACACGAGATTACCGGAGCCCATCTTCGCCGAGCATGACTCGACTAGATTCAGCTCGAGACGGCCGTCCGACTCGAAGTGGTCCGAGTCCTCCAGGAGCCAGGAGATCTTATCGAGCGCGACCGAACACCAAACCGCGTTCCCGTCGTCCTACTCGGTCAACGACTTCCAGACTTGCAACAGCGGCAGCGATCTCAACGATCTCACGTCGCTGGATCCGTTCATGTGCCCCGACGCCCTGTCGTCGTCTCTGCGCGAGTCCTTCTTCAGCGCGCCGTCCATGCCCGACTCGGACATATTCACGTCCTTCGAGGAGAGCGACGAGCCGGTCTTCACCCCCGACTCCGAACGGAACGCGTCCGCGTACAACTCGCTGTCGACGGTGAACCCGAAGAGGTGCGTCGTCGAGACGGCTTTTCAAAGCAAATCCACGGAGTCGGTGCACCGCGCCAGGCAGCCCTCGACGCGATCCTGCGCGATCCTCAAACTGGAACCAGCCGTGCACTCGAATAGATTGCGCGTCAGGCCCTGCGCGGATTACATCCTGAAGAACCCGCCGGTCAAGAGGAACCCGCGACTGGCGCCTCTCGCCATCCCCACACCCACGGAAATCTGCACCCCCACGTTCGACGTCGTGTCGGAGATCAAGAGCGACAACGGTGTCGGCGTTAGAGTTTAGAGTTTGAATCGTCCGCAGGATAAATGGGGGGGGTCTGCGAATATCCTCGCACGGGAATAGTTTGTCGGTCGAACTTTATTCTCGAAAGGATATAGAGTTGCAGATTTGAAAGCCTCGGAAGCCTCGACTGTGGCCTCGAGATTAAAAAAGAGAGAAAGAGAAAAGTATCCGAAGGAGATAGAGTGCACAGGGAGGTTTTACACGCCAGATATCGCGTGCGCGAGCTAGCGAGTCATTCGAAAATGCTATTGTCGTGTGGTGTGTGTTTTTAATCATTTCCCCTATTCGCGATGTACCACTCGATGACGCAACCAAGTTGCTCGTGTACCATGGGCCGTAATTTGTCGTTTTTGCCGAGTAAGGCTCGCTTTTAGATCATTTGACATTTTTCACACACGACTCTTTTGTTTGCACTTTTACATTTTTCTATCCTGTCCGATACTTCGTGCTTTCATACTTGTATTTTTTATATCAAGTAATTTCTAGCCTTCGAAATAATTAATCGACTAAATTTGCAATTCTATCCCTGAGAATTTAAGAACTCGATGAACTCTTAATTAAGGACGGTTTTGATAAGCAACGTTATGAGACAGCGCTATGCATAAAAGTATCCCGTTACATTGTATGAAATCCTGAGAGAGTCTCGAAAGATCGATATATTTACGATTGAACTGACTGGAGTGCAAGGTGTTTTCAAATTACAGTTTGGCGCGAAAAGAGAAAATCGTATGATTGGCGTCGCCTATTTGCTGTCAACTACGTTTTACGTTATTTAATAAATGGACACTGGACGTAAAAGAGCGATGCCGAATTTGTCGCAACATTCGAACGAATCACCGTTTTACCTAAATTAATGACATTTAATAGTGTAAGCTAATGACTCGTTTATTCATCCGACCAAAACTGTAAATAATATTACGCCTCAACTGCGAAACGATATTTAGTACAGAAGTAGGAGGAAGTTATCTCTGTGCGGTCCAATTGCGTTGTCGGTTACGTATATCGTACATGTAAATACGAACGTGCGATTGCGTTTATATTCCGTGAATCGATCCGTGAATCGAACGGCTATTCAAAAGTTCCATAAATGGTGTGCCAAGCAAATTATATTGAATCCCAAATTTCGTGGGTCATCGAGTTACACGCTCGTAATTACGCTCGATTACCGCTCGTGTACCTGACGAAAGATTATATATTTGTTGATTGGTAGAGAGACACATTGAGGATATACTGCAGAATATTTACTGAAATATTTTTTAATAAGATGCAGAACTGACTAAAATCTAACATAATGCGGATAGCACAATATTTTTTTATAGCCAACGAAATTTTCCATTCTCGTTTAACCTGGCCTTATTTTGCGCGTTTCGCTTTTCCGATAGTTTTTTTTTCAAAGATAATCATTTATTAAAATGTTTTCCCATCAATGCGGAAAATAGTACATTATTTCCAAAGAGAATAATATGAAGAATTTTACCTTTAATTTGGGTTTATGCCAGAATTAGAAATATTTTTCTCAAACCGAACGGAATCACTTTCTCTCTTGGGGGTTTTTTTAATTGATAATAATGCATATAAATGGTGTAATACGCTAAATTGAAGCAGTTGAACATGAGAATGTTGTAAATAGAGATAGAAAAAATAGAGATATCGATGACAAAAATATATATATATATAAAGAAAAGGACCAAAAACTAAAGCAAATTTCAAAAGACAGCCAATATATTTAGATATCATCATTTATCAAAATACAGTAATTGAAACTACCGTGTTATTTTCCGTACGGCATTTCCTTAGATACTGTGCGCAGTTATATTGCTATTTCCCGTTATTTTGCAACCATCTCTTTGAAATTTTATCTATTGCGTCGCCGTAGGAATTGCTTTGCTAATTAATACAAAGGATGAAATTATCCAAGGGGCACGAAACATGAATAATCGTACTTCTTACAAGTGAATGCCAATTAAATACTTTTATACGTAAAATCGAGAAAAGTCGCGTGTAAATTACGTTATTTTTATCTCGACGAAAGTTTTTTCAAAAGAAAAAGGAAAGAATGTACGCATGCAAGTTTTCTATACTTCGTGTACCTAACGGTGTCCCCGCCCTTGAAACAATTTAAAAGCCAAAACCTATATTGAAGAATATTTTACGACACATCTGCGTATACAGCGGATTTAGAACGAGGACATTTATTTGTCATATGTTTCTTCAATTTTGTTTACATTGACTGATCTCGCGTGATTGTCTTCCATATCGCACAATTTATAGATGCCAGTCTATACCGAGATATCGGACCTACCCGCTTTCTCTTTTCTATTCTTTACGAAGCCATAACGGCAGGCATGGCCGATGAATGTTCCTTTTAATTAATAATTTCTCAGAAATACTTTGACTCTGTTCTTTCCGAATGGAATTGGAGGCAACGTTGGAGGGGCGAATTTTTTAAAGATTTTTTAAAATCCTTTATCTTTGCATACATTTCGTAGCACCGAATCACTGTGTTACAGCAAGATCGTGTTTGTTGTAGCACTAATCTCTTCGCAACTTCTCTCACGGGACATCGTTGTAATATACAGTTTCTATAGAAGTATAAAACTCGAATATTCACAAAAGTGACAAACACTATATATTTTTATGAAGTATCTTTACTCTACGCGTGTGTGTGTGCGTGCAGCAGAGTGTTGAGTGCATCAGTATGTTGTTTATGTGTATATGTCAAGTGTGAAACTGAAGTCTCGATTCGCAACACGACTCTGATTGGAAAAAGAGATGACAAATGTTCCTTCTTTCTATATCACGCGAACGTGATTTCGAAATAACAATGCCGTTTTTCCATTCTAATAAGCGAAAGCATAAAACACCAAGGAAGTATTGATTTAGAAGATAGCAAATGAAACTTTATCGTCTTAGAAAAAGAACTGTCCATGCTAAATATACGTGTGATCTTTTCTCTTACATTCGCCTAAGAATCAAAAGTGGAGAACGGAATTGGATGTAAACGGAAACGCGTCAATTCCGTCGTGTAAAATGTATGAAGAGACGTAAGTCGACAAGGTGGACGGTAACGTTGAAAGCCAGGCGAGAAATGAGCTCGTCGTACGACGTCGAGTCGACGCCGACACCGTCAAATTGACGCCGATTCGACATCGCTTCGATACAAATCGACGAATCATTTCCCACCGGGGCGAGTCTCTTTTATACGTCACACGCGCTAAAATGCGCCGATGAAAAATTTTCCAACAATATTAACATAATAAGAAATTCCACAAAGAAATATAATAACGATTAATATTGTCTAGTCGGTGTAAAATCGTGTGTCGATCATATATTTATTGTTATTCTTGCGAAACCATGTACGTGAAGACGCATGCTCGGAACCGCGACGAGGGAAACCACTCGGGTGCCATTGTAATGGAGGAAAGTCCCCCTATTACGAGATAGGCTCGTAATATGAGATAGCAGTGGGTTTTCGACGTCCAAATTCAATCGCAAATCGGTTTCGCGGCGACTACACGATTTAACGATGAATTTTCCACTGAACAGATTTCGAGGGCAAGAAATTGACGGCGGAACCGACGCCTGTTAATTTAGCACAAATCCCGCTACCTCATATTAGGAGCTTATCTCACTACAGGGAACTTTACTAATTTTACGATCGCGTGTGTACACGCTCGCCCATTCCACATATCCATGCCACCTCACATACATTGTACGCGTGCGCGAGATAAGAAAAAAAAGAATACAGGATTTAGACTCAAGTCTAGCGGCTGCACGGCGTTTCATGATTTTCCTGCTTCCAACAAATTCGACTGTCCCGCCGGGATTCTGTTTCTTTGACGCTCTTCGCGGATTTTCTAACGAGACTAATGTCGATGCTCGCACGAACGTGTGCGAAATTTACGTTGAGACGCGTCCTACTTCGAAGTAGACAACATTGTACCTTTTTGTAATTTAAAACTTGCGACGACTCGATTGAAAACAGCAGGTGACGCCGTTGCGGGTATCGACGCGTACTTCGCTGCGTTGTTTGTTTTGTTTCCGTCTCTCTTTCTCTACCAATCTAAGGGCGTTGAAGGTCCAGCGACACGGACAGTAGACAGTTGAACGTGAACGCTCGGCGGAGGTACACGTGTTTCGTCGTCTTGTTCAGGTGAGAGCCAGTCGTCGTACAATTTCTCTTCAGCTGTACTCGACCAGAGCCAGAGCCGGTCTGCGTCGAACAGTGCTTTTCATCGGCCTTTCAGTTGCGACGAGCGTGCGTTCTTGCCGTAAGTTCTCCATTGTTTCCGGCCCGGTTTCGTCGACGTCGCTGAACGTTCAAGCTTAGCTTACTTCGTTCTTTGTCCCTTTCCAACTGTTACTCTAGGGCCGCGTTCGACAGCTCGCTATCAACGCTACTGTCGTTCCATCTTCGACGCATAATGAACAACGAAGACAGAATCTCGGCGCTAAGCAGTGAGCTTCCCGAACGCATCCTAGAAAGAGACAAGCGCGAAAAACTGAAGGCTACCCAGGTGGTCAGCTGACGTGACTTGTTGTCAAAGGTTGAGCGACGTTTAGCGAACCGGGCCTTACTGAAGTTACACGCTTGAGTACAGTTGATACGCGCGCTTCTATGGATAATCTGCACGTCATTACGTAGCCGCCTAACCCGTTAGCGCATTTGTAATCGAATGTAAGACTCGGTCTACAACGAGTCGTTGGTCAGAAGTCGGAACTGTATGTCGGTCCTCTTCCTTTCTAGGTTAAGGCCCGGTCTACAATGAGTTGTTAGTCATTAGTCAGAAGTCGGAACTGTATGTCGGTCCTTTTTCTTCCACCCAGAAAGGAAAAGGATCAACATATAGTTGCGACTTCTGACTAACGACTAACGACTCATTGTAGACCGGGCCTAAAGGCCAATGTCCACGATCCAAGAACTGTGTCCAAGTTCTAGTTTCAAGAAATGCGTAGCCAATCAGCTTGCAGCTATTCCATACAAGCTGCATGTTGATTGGCTGCGCATTTTTTGAAACTAGAACTTTGACACAGTTCTTGGATCGTGGACATTGGGCTTTAGGAAAAGGGACCGACAGTTCGGACTTACGACTAAGGCCCGGTTTCACCAGCGTCGTTGAACTTTGAAGCTTAGCTTAATTCGTTCTTTGTCTCTTTCCGGCTGTGCGACGTTTGGTGAAACCGGGTCTAAGGGCGAGTTTCACAAACGCCGGTTAACTGCTAACCGAAGGTTAATTGATTCTCTGTCTCTTAGATAATAAGATAGAAAGAAGATAGGGAGTCGACTGAACTCTCGTTAACAGTTAACCGACGTTTGTGAAACTGGCCCTTAGGTTTCACCAACGTCGCTTAACTTTAAACTTAGTTTAATTTACAACAATTAATATCAATTTCTTCGCCAGTGATATTCATAAATAAAAATTGTTCCACTTATTTAGTTTAATTTGTTCTTTGCCCCTTTCCAGCTGTGTTACCTTAGAAAAAGCCGAAGGACGACTTAAGCTAAGCTGAAAGTTAAACAACGGGCCTTAGGGTGAGTTTCACGAACGTCGGTTAGCTGCTAGCCGAAGGTTAATTTATTCTCTGTCTCTTCTTAGGTAATAAGATAGAAGCAGATAGGGAGTTGACACTGAACTCTGGTTAATAATTAACTGGCCCTAACAATGAGTTGTTAGGGCCAGTTTCACAAACGAGTAGACAGGGCCTACAGGCTAAAGTAGGGTGTACGCATCAGGACCTGAGCGGTCACCGGCTCTCTTCTGCTTTTAAAACAACGGCTGCGTTGAGCAGAAAAAGCTGCTTTGCAGCAGTCGTAAAATTCGTAAATTTAATTGGAGTGTGCTCTTAGATTCTGCCATAATTAAGAACACCCGCCAATTAGATTCGGGACTTTAACAGCAGTTGCGAAGCAGCTCTTTCCACCGAACGCGGCCAACGTTTCGTGTTTTGAATCTTCGTCTTAAAGTAACGCGCGATAGGGACCTGAGCAGACTGGCTGTCTTGTACTCTTGGGACAATGTTTTGTGTTTTTACGTCTTCGTCTTACAGTAACGCACAATAACTGTCTTATGACTTGAGAATACAAGACAGCCACTCTGCTCAGGCCCTAACTGTCTTGTGTCTCGACGTAAAAACAGCCGTTCGGCTCACGCTCTCATAGCGAGTGATGAGATACGTAATTCTGCTTGTCTTCATATTTGTAGATTTTACCTATGAATGATGGCGTCGAAGAAAATTAGAAAGGATCATCATGTGAGGATCACCGAAAAAGACGATTCGAACGAACCTCTCAAATGTATCTGCTTTAGACCGTATTCCCACATTATATGCAACGGATGCGGATTTTGGACCAAGGGAAGAGTGAGACACGATTGTCCGCAACACCCTAAGGTTACTGTCGTTTCGTTTCCCTTCGCCCTTTAAAGTACCTTTCTCCGTTGGTTGAAAACGTTACTCAAACGGCAAATTTCAGTAGCATTACTCATATTGTCACGTTGTTATTTACTAATAATTGTACTAATTCGTCTCTTCTTTTACAGATTGTTTTCCTGTACGATCACTCTCAATGTCCGCGCTGCAAGAGCTACGCCTTTATGCTCACGGAGATCTAAAACATTGTCGTTTTCGTCGGAGCAGTGAACTCTTGGAATGAGTGATCTATAGTTCTGGCTGTTGCCGAGAGAGAGGTGCGTTGGGTGAATCCTTGTCTCCTTCTAGTACTACCTGATTGGATAATCGTATATAAGTGACGCCCTTCTTCTCGTCATTTATATGCGACTATCCAATCAGGTAGTACTAGAAGGAGACAAGGATTCACCCAAACGCACCTCTCTCTCGGCAACAGCCAGAACAATAGATCACTCATTCCACTCTTGCGTCGGACTGAGGTTACAAGTTAATTGGTTACTGTTTTAGGTGAGCGGGAAATACGAGCACCTAATGTATCTGTTTAAGACTCTAAACTGTCAAAATGCTTTACAACGTGTTCACGCGCACGGGTATCACAAATATCTTTATTTTTTACCCTTATTTTCATAATACGGTGCGTGACGAGGTGCTGGTATACCGTTTCAATCTGATACTAGTATCGCGAGGAAAACTGTTATTTTAATGCGTCATTTTTGTCGCAAACGTAGTAATAAGAAAATATTTTGATAGTAGCGTCGGACAAGAGCGTATTTTTGGAAACCAGTACTTTATGTTGTACTAAATGCCTTATATTTTCTGTTCTGAGAAAAGTTGACTTTTTAAAATGCTTTCGGACAAAGTGCCTGTATCGAATTACACGTTTAAGATGGATAGGTCTAAAGCAGAGCGGTCTGTACAAACATATAACGGCGGGGGTTGATCAGAACAGGCTTCTGATTTGCTGAGAGGTAGAAGTGCAACTTTATATGTAACGTACGTTATTAGCGAATAAGACATTAAAGACATTTCGAGACGGTCGGCAACGTTATCTCGCCTACTGTATTCTAATACGCAGCAAGCGCTAACTAACAGCAACATCAATATTCTAATTTTCTATTCGATGATATGAACGTAGACTTGTGATACAGTCCTGCAATAATAGGTAAAGGTTAAAAATTGTCCAAGTTAACACGAACGAGACGACAAATAAACTGCGAATCACGAGTGGTGCGGTAAAGTAATAGCGAATGTCCAACGAATTTCTGCGAATCACGAATTGCGAGTGGTGTGGCGCCCAGCTTTACATAGGAATGAAATTGATAATATTGATGTTGCGTAAGTGTTGGTTGGCGCTTGTTGAATAACTACTTTACTGTACCATAATACATGTACAGCCTCAAGAGCTTTCACAGAGAGATTGTGTTTTTAAGAGCAGAATACATGTAAATTTTACGTATTTAAACATTGCTTTTCACGTACGAAGAAAAAATTATCTCTCGGGCGAGTAATTTTAATCAAATTGTATCACATCTTTTTTGGCAGATTGTCGCATCCGTTCTCGTTCTAATACCGCTCTCGCGATGATTTAACATGAAGTAATTGTTACAAGAAACTGGGGTCTTGAGTATCAATGCGAGTAGCGTGAAAGAAATCTCGACGACTACGAAATATCCTATAGCTATAAATTATTATGCGTGGTGAACCAGTGCAATAAATTAGAGCAGGGAAGGTATAATTTTTTTTCAACCTAACTCGCTGCACTGGTTCACCAGTGCAACACTAGTTTCCTCGCTGAAACGTTTAATGTAAATGTAACATAAATCAATTTGTTTGGCTGGACAGAGGATAGTTTAATGTTTTTATTCTCGACATCCCTCAGCCTCTCTTCGGAAGACATGTCGGAAAGGATCGGCGGTTGACTGCGAGCGTTGCGGGCAAGTTGATTCTTCCCCGTGGATTCAACCAATCACGTTGAACCGCTCGGTTTGCCGCTTTGCTCGGCTTGAACGAGGCCCAATATCCGACGTTGATTTAAACTGAAACGGGAAGGCTGTAAGCAGTTTACGGCAGATCTTGTATGGAATTTGCAATTCATTGCTCGTGGCATTATTGACTCTCGTGTAAATGTTCTCGCGACTTGTGTGCGTTTCTATCAACGCAGGTGTCGACTTTAATCTCACTTTGATTTCGTTTTTATCTTTCTAACTCTTCAAACTGGACAGAAGGATCGAATGTTAAACCAACCAGATGAAAAACTATGCCGACTCGACAAATCATTTCTCACTGGGAAAGTCTAAATTAATCTACCAATAGGGAATATGTCGGATTAATCTTTAATCTCGATTTCACATTTTCTTTTTATATTTTCTAATTGTTAGAACGGAGAGAGAGAGAGAGAGAGAGTTCAACCGAGAACAAAAATTAAGTCGCGCAGATTCCCAAACGAACCTTAATTAATTAATCTAAATTCTCAGAACTAAGGCTGGATTAAAAAGCCAGCGAAACCAAGACAGATATTAATCCGCGTTGGTAGACTAGGCACTCGGAGCGAACGTTAGTTTTCAACTTGACTCGCGTTGTCGTTAGTTGCCAACTTGACTCGCGTCGTATCGCATGAACCGGGCTACAGTTGCTTCGCGAGCTGCGTATGTGCAGCAACGTCGCACGTCGCCGCCGCGGCACAGGACGAGCTGGATCGCAACGACGCGACGTCTCGAGCGGTAAGCGGAGTCGCGATTAACCGCGCACGTTGATATCCCATAGATTGTCCGCGATAGACTCGACGGCCGGCGCGTATCGGGCGACTCGTCCGGCCGCTTCGGTTGTTCCGCTCGGATCGACCGAGATCCATCGCGCAGGCAGTCGCGACAAGGCGACGCTGTTCTCGCGTACTTTTTCGGTATACCGTGCCCCGCGGATACGCGCATTTCAATCCTGACAGGACCTCTGGTGACTGTATTACAGCGTGAGACAACAATTGATCTTAATACGCGTGCATATGTGCCACCGATCGGCGGCGGGCGCGGGCGCGGGCGCGGGCGCAGAGCGTCGGTTCGGCGTGGCGCGTGAAGTTGGCCGCGCGTCATTCGAATTAACTCCGCCGCTTGGAATTCGTGCAACGGACGACGGGGCGGACGCGAGCATCGTCGAGCGCGTCGCGTCGCGGCTCCGTGGTGTTACCGTCGCCATTGCTCGTCGTTTTCTCGCCGAAAGTTACAAAGTGCGTGCGAATTGAGATCGGGAGTGCCGTGCAAAGTCGCGATCGTCGCGATCGTCGCATCGTTAGGTTAGGGCTAGGTTAGTCGCGCTGGATCACGGTTGAAATTACGTTTCGCGAGTGTATTGCGTGTATGTGTGTGTATGTATGTGTGTGTGTGTGTGTGCGACATTCAACGACGGATTCTGAGAGGAGGAGGAGGCCCGGGAGGGCATCAGGCGCCGGCGGAGCAACCCTTGGGTGAGCAATCTTTTGTTTATTCGTTGTTGTTTGTCGTTCGCAAAGTTGATTCAATTCCCACGATTGCATTTTCGGCATTAATGCCCAGTAATGCCGCAAATCTGTACAATGCCCAGTGGACATTATTTTATCTTATTTTATCTTTATAATGCCCAAACTAATGCTAGAAAAATGCCTAGTAATGCCCAGTAATGCCGCAAATCTGTATACAATGCCCAGTGAGCATTATTTTATCTTATTATCTTATTTTATCTTTATATAATGCCCAAACTAATGCTAGAAAAATGCCTAGTAATGCCCAGTAATGCCGCAAATCTGTACAATGCCCACTAATGCCCATTACTTTATCTTATTTATCTTGTTTGATTTTATTTAATCTTATTTTATCTTTATAATGCCCAAAGAAATGCCTAGTAATGCCCAGTAACGCCACAAATCTGTACACCGCAATACCATCTCGGACGGTTTCCCCCTCGCTTTTTCTCGTGTCGCGACATGCCTGGAATAATGTATTTTGCAAACGTTACGGTTCAGATAAAAATTACATTCTCATCTGTATCGAATTAAAAGATTTTTTTTTCGAAACCACGTAGTCTTTCTACGAAATATCTTTTGCGCGACGCGAGAATGAAATATTTGGCGTGCGCAAAAATCACCTTGCGAAATACCAATATTAATATTCGGCGACTGTTTTTAATTAATTACTCTTTTATTTTACAGATTAATTAATGCACTCCGCTGCTGCGCATCGTACCCTACCGGTGAGTCTTGATTAACTTGTATTAATTACCTATCATCCAGCTAATTAAACTTGTATTAATTAGCTATCATCTTAACTTTAAAATAATGAATCCACAAAAGAATGTTACACGTAAAAATAACGTTCTAAAAATCCGTTGCTTTGAGAGTAATTTAAAATCAGATTAATTATGCACGCACAAAACTCGTCTGTTCATTCTTTCTTTCAACGGAACGGACTTCGTATGTCTTGAAAAACGAAATGGCATTTACCGGGAAAAATGCCTCGATTGTATCAACGAGGCATGTATGATAGAATGTATTTTGGCTAAACCAAACAGAAATTCTAGTTAGCACGATAGGTCTCGATATTTCATAACCAGAAGTTGGCTAGACTTCACTACACATCTGGTAAATCCTAAAGGAATTCTGATTGGTCCATTTTCTAACAAACGACTGGTTGAATCTACCAGATTTGTTTTTCGTCGCAAGATTCGTTAGCATCGTCAAAACTTCGTAGACTTTATTCGCGAGCAAAGGCTGGACAAACGGACGACAGGGATCCCTGTCGCGTAAATGGCGTTGGTTTCGTGTCGGAAAGAAAAGGCGGAAGGTGACATTTTGAAATCGTGTATTTCCAGTACCAAATATCCAATACATTTCGTTCTTACAATTACATTGCGAAACTCAGCGAAGTTCGTAGTCGACGTTGCTGCGGTAAGAAAGTTTCTGTTTCAAGTCGAAAGCAGATGATTCTGTATAAATACGGTAGACACAAAATGATATGACGCGACTCGGACAAACAGCTGTTGTTCCGAAGGTATAAAATCACGCCGATTAAAAGACATCGGCACGAATGCCAATTAGCGAATCGTCGACTTGGCGAAGCCTATCGTGTCCCACACTCCGGAAGTGTGCGGCTGCATCGGTTTGCAAATACTTTATACGATCTACCGGCCGTTGAAAATCGGCGGATTAAACATGAAAGTATATCGATTAACGCATAATAATAATCCGTAAAGTACGCTGCTATAACTATATTACTATATCGTATTGCGATAGAGATACATCTAATGAGTTAATCTAACGTTACGAGCTAACGGGGGGGGGGGGGGGGGGCGATAGTCGAATGGACGAGTCAAAGGACCGAAAGGTTGCGATCGACTAACAACGTTTAACTTATGCCAATCTACTTGCGGTACGTGTGCGGCTTCTCTAATTCGTTACAAACTTCCTTCCCACCTCGAAACATCGCACACACAGCTCCCCTTTCTGCAGGAATCCTTAAATGCGACACTTAGGATGACTCATCGCACTTATATCGCTTTATTTGCTTGCCGTGTGTTCGGCGGGTAATTTTATCTTCGCGAAAGCGTCGAGTTCGCTCAACAGTTTTCTCGGACAGCAAGCGACCGAAAGTATTTCTAACGAATTAAATCGCGGGGCCGAGAGAAAGCTTTTCGTCCTCCCTTCAATTTCTATTAAGCTTCAACGCGGATATGTCGTCTTAAAGCTAATTGCAAAGGTATTCAATAAATATATTAGAGATTACAAATTTATAATAAATGGTATTCTTCGCTGAAGGTCACGAGTGACCGTCGAGCTTACGAAACGAGCTACTAATCAAGAACTGAAACGATGATGAGGCATCCTACGCTTTATTGGCAGCTATAACACGAGTATACAAATGTAAAACGAAGTTACTCCAACCGCGATAACACAGGCTGCTTGCTATCTCGCGGTTCTATCTGGTGCAAAATTCAAATGGGAGTGTCTTAAGGTAGCGAATGTTGAATCGTTGTACTACAATATAAACGCACAGCGCGAATGTTAGGATAGGCTCGCGATAATTTCTAAGTCTCGATAACGATTCGGGAACGATACGCATGTATGTATGTACGGGAACAATGCACTTTATATGTGGCCACTCCGTTGGAGTGAAGATTCGTTATCCTGAGTTTGGCGTCTCGATCAAGACTTACCCCGAGATTACGCGAATGCGACAGAATTGATGCAAGAAACAATATGTAAAAAGAAAGCAATTCCTCGCAAGTCGAGTGATTATCAATAGAGTTAGTTTCAAGTTAGCATACGTGTACAGCATTTTCTTAAACATACACAACTTTTACATTCGTAGACACCGTTACATTACGACACGCTACGTGGGAGACTGAAATGAAAACGAACGTCACAATTCTAGTTGCAAAATTCATTTATTTTGCTCTACGAACGCAGTCAGGATTCAGGGGGGGGAACAGAATTCGCTGATTAGCTCTGTACAACGCATACCTCTTGGGATTCATTGGTTATTCGGATAACATATATGGGGGGGAATCCGTCGACAGCGCGATTAAATGTAAACGAAAAAGTCAAACCAAACCGTACCACTCGTGTTTTCACAATCTAACGTACACACATGGATATCTGCGAGAACACCGCGAACAATGATAATCGTAACTTTCCCTCGAGGGAAGAACGTAATGCGATTCGTTGAAAGCGTAAGTGAGAGGAGATGGGGGAAATGCGACGGGCTCGTAGGAACAATTGAGGAGTGGAAATCAAATATCGACCGAGTCCAAGTGCAAGGACGATGATCCGCGTGTTATAAAAAAGAATCCTTGGAGCAATTATTAATTTATGTCTTCAGATATATAGAATGTTAAATGATAATTTATCAGAATCTCGAGAAAAGTTTAAACTTGAGCCGCCCCATTGGCGCAGTCGCTGTAAATTAAGAAGCTCGCTTTAACTTTACATTCAAAATATTTTCACATCACGTTGTATTATTCAAACTGCACAGATGGCACGATTGTTCTTGCTTAAAATAAATACGCCGTATTCAAACAAGCTTTTCGTATACATGCATACAATTGGACGATTAATCTAATAAATTAACAAGGGATACACGCGCAAAAGAATTTTACGAAGGGAAAAGTTTGAAATTCAATAGAAAAATGTCGATATCCGACTTCCACTCTTCCCCCCTCGGGGATATCTAGCCTTAAGAGTTAGAAAGTATCGATCAAGTCCTTACGTCTCTCCTACAATTATATTGATGTGTTACAGATAATATAGCCAATGAATTACAAACAATAATATCGCTAATGAATACGATGAGGTTACTCCTGTTCTACGTTGGATTTTTGTTTTCTCTGTTCGATCGTCTCGTACAATTTCGACGCTTCGGAAAGGCGGGGGCGGTTTCCCGTGAGTTTACGATCGTAAAGGCGCGATGTTGCAGGATCATCGTTTTCTACCTCTCGCCAGAGGTGGTAAATCTATCGCTAAGTCACGAAACTATAAAACCGCACGCGTCGTCGCCTCAGAACGGCACGCAATCCCGAATCTTAGTAGTATTGCAGAGATTGATCAGAGTTTCAGTCGAGCCATTTTCGTACAATGAACAACGAGGCAGTGTTACGTCAAGTCTTTTGCTCATTCGTGGGCTTTTTGTAGAGTTAAAAAATTGTTGAATGCGTTCGGGCCTCCGTCTTGAATGTTAAAAAAAGAGATGCCGCGATTCCGGAAGAATTTTGCAATGTCGCGAGTCGCGTTTATAAGATGTACGATTTTAGGATTTATTCACATTTTCATGACGTTGAATATAATTTTTTTTAATAGTCTTCCTTTTCCAAAGGTAAAAGTAAAATCGTGATCGTCTCAGAGTCTCTCAATATTGAAAATTACAGAATAACGTGTACAATAATTGGTATTTTCACGTGAATTTTCCCCGAATAAATTCGAGACTCGGTCGTCAAAATAATATTAGCTCGCTTTACATCTTTTCCGAGATAAATCAGGCCCGAATGCAACAGCGCTGAACTTTGGGAGTCGCTTCCCCGAGTTGAAATATCGTTAGCCAACAAATTGGGCCTCGACGCATTCCGTGCTATTCGGGGAACTCGGTAAATCAGTTCAACTATCGTTGGGATTAACACGCGCCCAATGCCGTACGGACTTGAATAAACTTTCGTCCAATTACAAATTGTACATTCCGAGATCGCAAGACAAACACGTTTTCAGCAGCACACGCAAATATCTAAATTCAGTCGTGTATTAATAAAACGATCGCCATGGCATTGAGGACGTTTAAAGATTACGATAATCTACGTAATTGAGCGTGGGCTCGTGCACGAGCGTGCGATCGAGATGCGCGCTTCGGCCTGCCCGACTATCGACGCAAAACGGTAGTATGAATGATATGGAGGTGATGATTCGGGCGATGTCGTGAAAGTCAGCCGGGACGGGGCCTCGGGCGCATCTCCGCCTCACCCTCGAGTTCACCATCGTCGTGAATCCGTGGCAGTTTTTTGCTTTTTGCTTTCGGCGCGCGATATTAATCGTCGTGCGACAAACGGGAAGCATCCGAGAGACTCGCGCGCATTCCGTGCGTTTCTCTCCCTGCTGCTGTTTGATTTCCCGGTCAACCCGCGCGATTACGGGACACAACGCCTGCCGGTGTCGTTATTTCAAGATCGAGTTATTTCAGAATTAAAAACGCGTGCACGTTCGACGGCGCGGATAAGTGGGTCTCGGGGCCACCTGTGCCGCGCCGTCGTACGTTTACATGTGAAAGAAACGACTCGATCGCTGAACTTGGGACTGTCGGCGCCTCGGTGGAACGCGGTGGAAAGCGCGAAGAGCTCCGTATGCTTCGAGATGCGAGTGACACATGTAACGGCGGGAATACAATACAATCTGTCGCAACCGTATCGAGCGCCTCTTCGGGGGGGGACGACTTATAAATAAAATATGCGAGGTCCGTCAAGAGTATACACCGTAAAATATCAAACCGCGCTCGTTCTCCGTGCCCGCTTCTGTCGCACACGCTGGCGCGAACGTACCGAGACGCACGTGGCACCCACGTTTACTTCCGGTCTCATCGCGTATCTCCCTAGTCGGCGAACGTAATATGTAGAGCAAACAACGCGAAATCGTCTATCGATCTATAGAAGTCTCCGCCACTTCTCACCCTCTCCTCGCTTGACTTCGACTAGACACGCGGACATCCTAAGTCTGAAATGAAGAAGAAAAAAAAACAGAGAGAGAGAGAAAAAATATAACCGCAACGGAATATCACACCCGACGAGGACGAACGCTACTGATAACAACGAATCGTTTCGAGCACAACCTATGTCTAGTAATATTCTTAAATCACAGTCAATTTAACAGGAATGGAGCATAATGAGCAGCGGTGAAAGTAATCGGTAATCGATTCTCCGCCGAGAGCGCGATCCCACTCTAACCGCTCATCATTATTTTTCTTAGTATTGTTTCCATACGCGTTTTCCTTTTAAAAACCATGTTGAGCATCACAAAACTGAGCGACAGTCTACACGTAATATAGCCGCATTATCGCTTGGCACGTAATCCACGCGGACGGCTGACGCAGGGGTAGCCTTGCCCAGCGCTCTATCTATAGTGATTTCACGTGAAAGCACACGGGAAGTGCACACCAAAAGCTACCGCGTGTAAAATTATAAAAGCACGAACATTGTGACCGATAAGGTAATTTCGTGTGTACCACATTTTTGCGATATCACGTGTTTACATATACAAAGTATATAACGTATACATGTTGTACATATAAGCTCTAATATTTATATGTATTAATATCTGGTATAAGCAATTATATATGTATATATAAACACAGTGATACATAAGATATATAATATATATGTGTATGTATGACGTTATCAGTGAAAGTGCACATGTTTTGCATTTTACACTTGGATACTTGGGTATGTTTCGTGTGTAGCAGCTTTTAGGGTACATTAGTGCAGGCGATTAAACTTGCCATTAGATTAACTGCAAAGCGATAATATAAACGTATTCCGCGTGTGTAGACTTTGTAACGCAATATTAATTTATTAGGAATGACAGAGTAAATCTACGAATCGATATGCTCTTCCGCGAGTGTTTAAATTACACGGTTAAATGTAGAAGAGAGTGGATCCAATTGGCTACGTAACCCCTTGAAATTGCGCGATCACCGGGCCGGTTCGTTCAAATAACCGTATAGAGCCATTCACCTCTAAAACTAAGCAGCTGCGAGCTGAATCGCGAGACTACAGAATATTTAAAAGCTAAAGTGCACTCTTCTTAGGCTCTTTGATGAACGTTTCGCGACATCAGCTAGTTTCTTAACGGTTCCGCATTGCGGTATTTGTTGCGAGGCAAGTTACATTACGCGAATCATATTAGGCGGACAAAACGAGGGCAGAAAGCGATATCGATGCAAAAAGTCCTAGTCTTAAAAAATTTTTCCTTTATAATCTTACATATAACAAAAACGCAAGCAAACTAACGTAATTGAGTCAAGTTTCATTGTGCGACGTATCTACAATTATTTAGCCGAGATGCACCGTTTTATCAATTCGCAAAGTTAAATATGCTGTGCGCAACGAAGGTCTATCGTATAATCTACAAGACGACGCGACTGTTAAAGGCTGTAATCAATACAGTCTTAAAATAATTATCCTTAGTCAGTTTCGCGGTTGCAGCAGTAAAATAAAACATCGACCAGATCTCGTAAAGTTGATTTGTAAAATTATCGAGAGACGGAGAACGTTGAAGAAAAAAAAGAAACGAAACGAGTGAAGCGTGGTCTCACGCCGTGAAATTCATTTGGCACAGATACAATCGATATTTTAACGTACTGCAACTCTATTGAAATTACCTATCCTATCAGTTTTTTTTTTCATGTATAGTCGTTCTGTTCAGACGGTATAAAAAAGATACACACACGTGTCGAGTAATATTAGGAACAAAAAGCCCCACGAGAATCGTAAGAGTAGTAGTGACTGTTCACAGCGGATGACACTGCGTTCGGTTTCATCACTTTCAGATCGTGTGAAATTACAGTTAAAAAAAAAACAAACATTTGCAACTTCAACTATATTCATGGTCTTTCCTCGTGTAAACGTTGTCGCAGTAGTCTAAAGTCAAAGAGTCAACCATGAGGGAATCGACGATAAAAGCTGACTTTACGCCGATTAACGCATAAACGGCAACGATACAAGTAGAAGTTGGTCGTCAAGAAAAGTGAGATGTAGTAACGTCTAAAGAAAGAAAAAAAAACCCAAGTCTGAAGTGTCTTTCCATACCATACTATTTTCTTTCTGTGCCTCTCTCTCTCTCTCTCTCTCTCGTTATAGAGCCGCCGAAACAAACGGTAGTTTCACGAGCTGCATCTTAAAGTAGCGCGTTACATTTTTTTTTGACATAGTACGATTTACATAAAGTATACGTGTGGGATCAATTAATATCAGTTTATACCTGCGAATAAGTACTTGTGGATTGGGGTTATGCATGAAGGGCTCCTTAAAACTGTATATAAGAACAAAGTTAAGACGTCGCCGCTACGACTACGGGAGGAACAACGTCGGATTCGCCGGCACCGTCGGCCACGGCGGAGTCGACGACTTTTTTAACTTTTATGGACTCCGCACTACTTTCCGACAAACTCTCGGGCTCACCGTTCTGCGCCACGGCCGCGTCCTCGTTCGTCGCCTCCTTCGACGGCCCCTCATTCAGTCCGTTGCTATGTAACTTGTCGTCCAACACTGGCACATCCGTATTCCCGTTTTGCGTGGTTCCGTTGAGTTTTTGCTTTTCCGAATCCACTGTATTCTTGTCCTTCGTGTCCACTACATTCCCTTCTTTCACTGTCTCCTCTTCTTTTATTGTCTCCTGCTGCGCGGCCTCGTTCTCGCGTTTCTCAGCGTCGGTCGTTTTCGTTTCCACTGTCTGGGCTACCTTCTCATCGACCTTTTCAGATTCCGCGGTTACTTCCGAACTCTTCCCTGCGTCAGTTGACGCCGTTGCTTCTTTCCTCACGTCAGTAGCCGCTGCTTCCGCCTCCGTGACCGTTTTCTCCGCGGCTGTTTCTGCGGCCTCCCCGTTTTCCGTGACATCGGTCGTCTCCACTTTCGTTACCTCTTGCTCGCTCTTCGCTAAAACATTCTCGCTCTCGCCCGAAGTAATCTTCGAGTCCTCCTTCACCTCGTCTGTTTTCACGGCCGAGCATTCTTCCGATTTGTTCGCTGCATTCTTGTCGCAAGTTTGCGACCCACTGCCGTCTGCTTTCTCGTCACTTTCAATCGTTTGAATTTTCTCGACACCCTCAGCCGGCACATCCTTGTCTGCAGAATCCTCGACCTTTTTCTCGGAAGACGCGGCAGTGGTCTCGGACTTTGACGCGGACTCTGGTACGGACACGTCCATAGAGTCATCGGCAGTGATTTCAGTCGCGATTGCGTCTAAAGTCTCCTCAGTCTTCTCCGCCGCGGCGCCTTTGTCGTTGTCTTTTGGCGCAGCGTCATCGTTCGCGGTGCATTTGGCACTTTCAGAGGAGCCTGCGTCCTCACTCGTATCCTTAGATTTGGCATCAGATTCCTTCACCTCCTGCTCGGCATTTGAAACATCTTTCTCAACCGCCGTTGACTCTTTCGCTTGTCCTAAAGAAACCGAGGCGTCTTTCGACGGCTGATCCTTGGCGCATTCCCTTCCTGCCGGTTCAATTACTTCTTTCGCGTCGTCCTTCTCAACTTTCTTATCGCTGACATCGGACATCTCTACGTCCTCGGAAGTGTCCATTGGCTCACCAACGGCAGCCGTACCTTCGTCAACCTTGTCATCTGCCGTCTCTAATTTTTGCCGTTTCGCAGATGTCTGAAACGTCAAGTCCAAGAAGGACTTGACGGTTGTATACGCAACTTTTTCCTCGTCAGTTAGTGCAGCATTACCCTCGCGTACTACGATCACTGTTGACAAACCTGCTTCCTTGGCGGCTGCAGCTTCTGTTATCGATTGAAGGAAGAAGAGAGTGAGCGAAGAAAGGACATTTCGCAAGTCGTCGTTGAAATGTGACATAGAAAATCTGACTGCTCAACTTAAATCGATATCTTCTCTCTCCCGTTCGAAGAGAGAAGGAATGTACGAACCTTTTACGACATCAGTGAGAAAAATCACATCGGACGGTTTCTCGCCGATTTTACTTAATATGTTTTTATAGCTGTCGCTTTCTTGCTTCGCGCCTACTTCTGTGTCGAAGAAACCACTGAAATACTAAAAGGGAGAAAATGGTTTATACAAACGTCGCCAAGATGCTTACGATATTTACGATAGGATATACAAGTTTTGCAACGTAATGCATTATCGCCGAGTACCTTAAGCAAATCGCCGTGTACGGAATATCCGAAAAGGAGCTTCTGCGCCTCGACGCTGCCGCTTGAGTAGACGTATATCTTTTTGCCGTTGCTTGTCCAGGATTCTAATGCTTTAGGAACATCTTCGTAAACGCTAAACAAGACACACTCTATTGAAGCATGACGTTAAGACTAGCTTAAATTCTTTCAATTTTCTCACATTTTATAGTCCACGTTTCTTATTGAATCACGACCATTTTCATCATCAAAGAGTGAGGACAAGTGTCCACGGGCAAATGGCTCCATTTTTTCCGCTCTCGATTTTGGTCGCAAAGTAGGCACCAAACGAAAGGACTCGTCAAGCTAACAGTTAGTCCCAGCGTGTACCTATTTAACGTTCCAGAGATATCGGACGCCAAAGATGTCATTAGCATCGACCATTGGGAAAACCTTTTTAGTCGACTCCAGCTCGGATCCATCGAACAGTGCATCCGCTTGGCCAAGAGCCTTCGGTTGCAGATCATTTTGGCAAAGCGAACACGTCAGTGACAGAAGGGATGTCTTTTTGTTCGGAAAGGTATTGGTTTGGGAATTTTTTCGAGCCCGATATCTCTGGAACGTTAAACAGGTGCACTCTGAGACCGACGTATCTGCGATCATCTTGGCGAGACCTTTCGCTTGGTACCTACTTTGTCACCAGGATCGAATGCGAAGAAAGTGGAGCCGACCTTGTTCTCACTCTTTAACTCGCGAGTGCCATTCTAAAGAACCCTTAACTACACTGGTGGGGTGATTAAATATATTTGTACAATTACATAATTACGCAAATATTTCTCACGTGGCGCGAGCGACGTTACCGTAGCTTCATGTAGACCGCGGTTCACTTGATGCTGCGAACGCTTCCAGTGTTCTACTTCTGCTTCTTTGTTGGTTAAAAGGAAGGAGAAAAAGAACGTTGCGATGCATCGAGTGAACCGCAGCCCTTTTCTCAGCGCTGGACCGTATCTCTACGAAACTAGCCCGCGGGGTAGTTTCGTAGTTATGTAGGCCAGATCTCGCCAGTGTAGTCGAGGGTTAAAATCGAGGGTCGACGTTATTTGCAAAACTACGTTCGGCGTAGTAAAGGTAGTTGTCAACGCATCCGACGGCCGGGCTGCGAAGCATTCGCGGGTTAAAATTAAAGAATACAGAATTCGCGTTTACGTACGCAGTAAAAAAAAAGAAGAGATCTCACATGAAGAGTGAATAATAAATGAAACGTGACTGAAGTGAGCCCAAGTGCTACTGTTCATCTCACTATTTGTGACGGTTGTACGGTGGTTTGCGCAATTGTTTTGCGTACGTATCGAATAGGTGTCTCGACATTTTCATCTAAATGCACGATGCCATTCGTGTAGACGGCTGATCTTATATGCGGCAGACTTGTGGGGATTTCGCAAGGGCAGTACGGCGCGCACGTGGAATGAATCTAATCGTCCGATACGAAAGAAGATGGAGTAACTTACTGTCCTTTAATAACTTTGGCAATCTTATACGCATCACGCAACATGTGTCCTTGCAGTTGCTTTAGTGCGCCCGTCTTACGATCGTTATCCATTTGCCAGAAAACATTTTTCAAAAGCGAGTCTTTCTCCTCCTCGGGCTTATCGCCGGCAATCGCTACAAAGCCGTCTATCTTATCTTCCTCGTCCTTTTTTGCCTAAAAAAAAGGACGCATTGATGAACCATTGGCGACCGACACGGAATCGGCGAAGGGAACGTTTGAGAGAAATGGGACGTTACAAATATTTATCTCGAAACGTTTGTAGTGGAAGTTCTTAAAACGATCAGAGGGAAGTCGCCTATTATGCGACAAGCTCCTAATATGAGAGAGCAGGGTTTTTGCCAAGCAGGCACCATCTGTTGGTTCCGTCGTGAATTCGTTGCCCTTCGAGTGCAGTCTGTTTGGTGGAAAATTTATTGTTAGATCGCGTGATCGTTGTGATTAAATTTTCACATTGAAAATCTGCTATCTCATACTGGAAGCCTATCTCGTAATAGAGGACTCTCCTGTGAACAGTACAAGGAAACAGATGTGCTGCTGACCATACGTGCACATGAAATAAAATCTGGAGGATGGGATGCAGAATTTAATACAAAAGATACGTCTCTACAAATCAATTGTGCTCGTGCTAGGCTGAAGATTTTAACACTGTCGGGGGGACGAGAGGGGGGGGGGGAAGAAGGGAGTAAAGTTTATTATCCGCACGAGACGGCGGCTAACAGAAGATCTTCCCGCGTACTTGTCCGATCTTGACTATTTTGAAACAAAGGACTTTACCCTGGAACCTGACGGATCAATCGGTCCCTCTTTCACTCGCGTCGCAAATAAAACTTGTCCCTCGCGTTGCGTTCGGTTGAAAACGTGGAATTGTGCGTGAGGGAGCGGAAGGAGGACTCGGGGTACAATGGGATACAAATTTCTGGCGCACATATTTCTCTCATTCGACTTGGAACAAAGGCGAACGTCATATCCGACCGTTTTCCTCCCCGTATTTACCTGCTCCTCCTACTGGTCAATGTCTCGTATTTACCTGTTCCTTCAGCTTGCCGTAGTCCTGCTTGAACTCCTCGTCCTCCCACTTGGTCTCGATGTAGTCTTTCAGAGTCTGGCGCACGTAGGGAAAGAGGGTCTCCTGCAAGAGAAACAGGTCGCGTTCGTAAGACCGAGACACGCGGCCGCCAGCGCCGGGAAAATCGCGCGCGCGCGCGCACGCACGCGGGCGCGCGTATGCGTGTGCGTGCGTCCCGTTGTTTTCCCGTCGGCGTTCCGCGCGGCGTCTCGGCGCGTCGCGTCAATATACATGCCGGCGCCGACGACCGACGTCTATAAAAAGACCGTAGCATTTGTTTTTTAAGCCAGCGTCTTCGGCGGCTCCTCCTCGGCCGTCCGTCGCTCGGAGCCTGGAGCCCCGAGCGCCGCGGGCTCGGGCCCTCCGACCGCGAGAGCGGGTCGCCTTAGCTCGCGAAATCTCTCGGTCTCGCAAACACGGTGGCGGCGGCGGCGGCGGCGGCCGGCGACGGGCGGCGGGCGGCGGGTGGCGGGCGGCGGTGGCGGCGGCGGTTCACGGTCGGCCGAAAACTCGCGATTCGAGCCGGCACACCGCCCCGACGCGAGGACAATAACCCGGCGTAGAGTTCGACCGCGCGCGACGACACGGCGAGGAGAGAAGACGCGAGACGTCCTCTCGCCCGACACCCGGACGACTTCGCGGGGGACGGAAACGGGGAGGGAGGGGAGTTCGGCGAGGAAAGATGAAACGCCGCCCGCGGGGTAGACCTCGACGGGGAAAGAGCCGGGCGCCGCTCCCGAGAGGCGACGCGTCGCAAGAGACAACGACCCGGCGCCGCGGCCCTCGATCCCGAGGCGAGGACGCGAGGCGTTCTTTGCTGCTCTCGCGCGGCCCCTCGCCGGCCTCCATTTACCTTGACGAAGCCGATGCTCGTGGTGGTGCCCTCGATGTCGACGAGCACCGTCCTCGCGAGCGAGACCTCGTCCTGTTCCTGGCTGCGCTTTTCCCCGGCCATTTCCACAAACCGACTCGCCCACGACCGTAGGATTAATAATCGGCGGTATCTATATATATATATGTGTGTGTAGGCTCCCCCTCGGTTAGGTTCACTGGCTGTGTGCGTGTGTGTCGGCGACGACGCGTTCTCGTTGGGAGCCGGCGAACGAATTCGCTGCTGGCCGTGCGCCAATGTACGCCGCCGCGCCGGTATATGCGTGCGAACTCGCGCGGTCCCCCTCTGCTCGCAGCCCGCGCCCTGCCGTACCCAGTAACCACGTCCGTACCCAGGCGTCCCGGGTGCCCGGATTTTCCCTCGACCACGACCTCTCGCGGAGCGGGAAGAATTGCCTCGAGTGCCCTCGAATGGCCTGGAAGGCCCTTTTTCTTCGCCGGTAAACAAATGACCGGAAGAAAGATTTTTTTTCCCTCGATCCGACTGGCGATAAATTCTTTGTCCCACGACGTTTCGACCATGGGGTCTCGGTCCTTTTCGAGCGTAACGGTCGCATGACTACGCCGTCGGCGTGTCGCGCGTCAAGAAAACGCGGTCGAATTTCGTACTAGGAAACGCGGGGCAGTTAGACTAGTTTCTACTTTGAGCCCGGTCAGCAAAGTGTTAACAGATTGGCGTCAGAAACCCACACCAAGGCCATAGCCATCCGCGTCCACATTTGGCTTTAGTTTTGGCCGAGCAGGTTCGGTTACGTGAGCAGATTTTGTTGTATTTATGTCTGACATGTCGGCCAACGTTCAAATACATCGGTTCCTGTATACAATCTGCAGTGTCTCTGCCTTGAAAATTTGTACTGGGCATTTGGCTACCTGGGTAGCTCTTACTTTCTTATACGTAAGACTTATTCAACCTGTGAATGTCGACAAAGAGCGCGTCCAGCTACACCTTGATCCTCTCGGGGCAGATTGTTCCAACCTCCTGACAAGTTAACTAATAGTTAAATCGTACGCCTTCGTTTGTAAAATTAAAAAAGACAGACATATAACTTGACCATTAGCTCGCCAAAGGGTTGGAACGTCGGTCAACACTTTGCTACCTTCCACCTCGCTTCTATCTCCAACAAGGATTCCGCGCGTCGTCGGGCGGGAGAGGCGCGATTTTCGGGGAAGGAAAATTACAGGCCGCGCGGCCAGGGGTTCCGCGGCGAGTCGCGACGACTCTGCCGTCTCGAATACAAAACCGCGGGGGCCCGTGTCGGCGCGCGTAGACACTCGCGATCGCGCGGCGGTGTGAGTGTGCGCGCCGCGAATCGCTCGTTCCACCTCGGGGTCGCCGTCCAATGAGCGGCCGCGGCCGTCGCGAGTCGGCGTGCGCGCGACCCTCCCGCCGTCGCGAGGATCCCCGCGGCCACCGGCGGCGGAGGATCCTCGAGGAGAATCATCCACCCTGGGTCGAGTCTCGGTCGCGGCGGCGCGAGGAAAAATCGACGTCGTCCCCGTCGCCGGCCGTGTCGGCGAAAACGATCCTCCGGCCGATTCCCGGCTTCGACCCGCTCGAGTATCGACTCGCTGGCGAGCCTCCCTCTGTCCCTCTCTCTCTCTTTCTCTCGATATCACTCCGCGAGAAAGTAGTCCCGTCGCGGTGTTGTTTTTTCGCACGTTGATTTTTGATGGGCGACACGTGACTCGCGACGGCCAGCGTTTCTCTCTCGAGATTCCCCCGGCCCGAGATGGACGTCTCGCCGTCGCGGCCGCGCGATCGAGGACCCGTCCTGATCGCGCGGTCGGGCGCGGGCGATCACCTGATTTTTTTTCCACCAGCGCTGCGTCCATTTAAATCTCTGCGTGACGCGCGCACGGTAGTAGCCATTTAAATTTGAATAAGGACGATCACGCGCTGCCTCGTCATCCCGGCGACGTATCGATGTAGGCTGTCGATGGCACAGGGACGATCTGTCTACGAATCAAATGAAGGGACTCGTATTTAGTCGTAAATGAACGGCGCGGCATATTTATCTCGTGTCCAAGAGATCGGAGCTTCGTATTCTTCTTTTAAAGATACCGATGCAAATGGTGTCTGCATTGTTTCCCGAAAAAATAACGAGTGCGTCTAGTATTTGTATCTAAAATGAAGGGAATTCACAAGAAATGTAACCGTATCTGTTTCTCCGTACTGAACAAATTGAAGATTTACCTGGTGTCTTCGATGAGTAAAAGCCAAGACGCTCTGTAAAAGACTGAGAGATACGTTATGGATATTCTCACACAAATATATTTTACACTTGCATAGCTAGAAAATAACATACTTATTCGTATAACGTACAGTGACAGATATTACAATGGGAACGTACAATCTAAAACCATTAACATTAACACAGTGATGAATGTATGTATAAAAGCATTATAACCAAGTATCATATTATACGAAAATCGTGCGCCATTTATGTATAATATGTATAAACGCAAACTATTTTCGTTATAGAAGTCATGTCCATTTAATAGATTGCACTTGCACTGAGAAAAAAAGTTGTTGATATTACTAAATGTTTAATTGCCAGTATTTCTTTAATTCAAACATATATATATATTTTTTTAAATTAACAAATATTTGTTTGACAGCCCGTGACCGCAGCATATAGTTGAATTAAGAAATATTTTCTTGATTCAACACCCTTTTTCTCAGTGTACGATCTAGAATTGTAAAAATTGCTTCGTGCATATATTATACGTATGAAATAATGCACAACATCGATATATTATTTCATCTGATACATTTCCGCGAGCGCTCTTACGTCCCGTACATCTAACTGCGTCATCTCCGCGGCATTACGTGGATTCCAATTTGTTTAATTTCTCGCCGAGATGCGCGTTCAAGTGAATTCTGATTTCCTGCGTGTCGCCGCACTTCTCCCCGCATTCCGGGCACTCGGTCTCGTTGTCCCCGTGCGCCTTCTTGCGGTGGTTCGAGCGGCTGCCGTAGCTGGCGAACGTCATGTCGCAATCCGCGCACTGGTAGGGCCGGTCGCTCGTGTGAATGCGGCAATGAACGTCCCTGACGTCTTTCTGCCTGAAGCTCTTGTTGCAGTACTCGCAGGTGTACAGCTTTCCGTGCAGCAACACGTGATGGTAGAGGGTTTTCATGTCCGCGAACATGACGTTGCACTGCGCGCACTTGTACCGCTTCTCGCTGCTGTGCTTGCTCTTGATGTGATTGATGAGCATCTGCTTGATCTTGAACTCGGTCTTGCATATGTCGCACTGGAAGACACGCGGCATAATCCTACCCTCGTGCACCTTCTCCTTGTGCGCCTTGAGCGACATTTGATGGCTGAACTTCTCCTGGCACTCGTTACACTCGTACAGCGGTTTCTGATTGAGTATCAGGGGGTCCTGGCGGTCCAGCTGATGGGTCCCGGTCATGTGGTGCTTCAGCATGCGGTAGGTCGGCAGATCGCTGCGGCACACGGGGCACGTGAATATACGCGGGAGCGATATGTTCTTGTCCTTCTTCCAGTGCTTCTCCAGGTGCTCGTTGAGATTCTGCTTCTTGATGAACGCCTTGCCGCATATCTCGCAGGTGTGGCGGGTGGGTACGTGCGACTTCTTGTGGAACTTGAGCGAGTGCGTGGTCATGCAGCGCAGGCCGCATATCTCGCACTGATACGGCTTCTCGCCCGTGTGCTTCCGCTGGTGCTCCCGCAGTCGCGTCTTTAGCTGAAACGACTTGCCGCACACCTCGCAGATGTGCGGCCTCGCCCCCTTGTGCACGAACAGGTAGTGCTCGTACAGCGAGTTCTCACCGCTGAAGTCCTTGCCGCACGTGCTGCAGACGAACTCGTCCATGTTCTCGTTGTGCCGCATCTCGTGGAACTCGAGCCTCTCCCGGCGCATAAAGTGCTTGCGGCACTTGAAGCAGTGGTACTGTCGCTGCGCTATCGCCTTCGTATTCGCTTCCCCGTCGACTGTCGGACTCGCGCTCGCGTCCTCGCAGAAGGCGCACATCGCCGGATCGTTGACGGCATTGGGATCCACGTGCTTTATCGCTTTCTTGCAGACGGTGCACTTTCGTCTCTGCCTCGTAGCCTTCTGATTGCTATCCTTGTCCGCGTCGACGCTCGGCGTCTCTTTGTAACCCGAGTGCCCGTGTTTCCTCTGATGCTCCTTCAAAGTCGGCTTCTTCGCGAACGCCCTGTCGCAGTCCGCGCAAACGTACCGCACCGGGCTCTCGTGCACGTGGCTGTAGTGATCCCACAGCAAGCTCTCATTCCTCGTCTCTTTGTCGCATATCCAACAAACAAATTTATCCATCTTGTTCAACCTGTGCCTCTCCATGTGAAACTTGTACTTGGTCTGCGAGATGTAACGGGCTCCGCACAAGTTGCACACCGGTTTTACGCGACTGTTTGGATTATCGGCGCCATTCGCACCGTCCCTGCATTCTCCTTCCACGTCAGCCTCCACGTCACCGTACGCCGCGACATTGTGTCCCGATTCGATCGTTATCAAGCCAGCCACACTGGACCTGTCGTAATCGCTGCTCAATTCATCTTGCTCCTTGACGTCTAAATTTGTCCCCGATGTCTCCAACTTGGTAAAATTCTTGTCTCTCTCCACCGTATATTCCACATCGTTCTCCTCATTACCTATCTTCTCGTCGAGATATTCTATGCCGTTGCTCATCGTCTGGAATGTCGTCGAGTCAGTCACGCTCGATCTGTCGCAATCGCTGTTCAATTCGTCGGCGTCCTGCTCCGTTACACCCAATCTTGCCTCTAATTTTCGCAGCTTGGCAGGACTAACAGATACTTTGGTAGAAACGTTTCTCTGAAACTTCCTCTTTTTGCCCTTCTTCGACTCGTACGGGTCTGCATAGTTGGTGTCATTTTGCGAGCTGCTGTGCAATCCATTGACATTCTGTCTGTTGTCGACGACATCGAAATTCAATTCGCATCCATCGCTTTCCGTATTTGATTTCTGCGCGCAGACACTGGCGAGCTCCACTATGTCTCTAGGCACCTGACCCTTTTCTCCCGCCAGCTTCTCCAGTTTGTCCACGGCGGCCAGTGAAATTTCAAACGCGTCGCTGCCTTCTGAATTGCTCGTCAGTAAGAGTATCAGGTCTTTGTGGCAACTCGGACAGGTGTATATCATGTCGCTGTGCATCTTGGAAATTACCACGTTCTGCAATCTCTCGTTCCTGTTGACTTCGAGGAAAGAGACGGTCTCTGTCTCGCTCTCCTTCGAGCACGCCAGTATACTTTGAATGAAATCATAATGACTGACCACCTTGTTGTAACAGTCCAAACATATAGATTTCGAGCGATCGTCTTGCGAGACCTGTAAAAAATTCATAGTAGCGACGCACACTTGTTTACAGCAGGGCCTCGTTTCACCAGCGTCGCGTAACTTTAAGCTCGGCTTAATTCGGTCTTCGTTTCTTTCTGTTACTTCAGAAAGAGACAGGCGTGAATTGAACTAAGATTAAATGGCATTCGGTGAAACCGGGCCTGACTAAGATCCTAGCTTCATTCATTCTTTGTCTCTTTCCGATTGTTACTTCAGAAAGGGACAAACGTGAATTAAACTAAGCTGAAAGTTAAACAAGGCTTGGTGAAACCGGGCCCGACTAACTGGCATACCTTAATTGGCAAAGTCTCGTTTATCATCTGCGCCACATTGGTCACTTCATCGAATATATGCCTCAAATACTCAAATTCGGACTTGATGCCGCACAGGCGGCACGTGTCGTATTTCATTTTGACAATTGTTTGTGGAAACCTCTTCGACGCGTTCTTACAAGTAATCTCTCATCTTCGTTCTCATACTAGCGCCAATAGACTTCCTCGGGAATACGACCTGCAGTGTGTGAAAGAGAGAGAGAGAGAGAGAGAGAGGAGAGAGAAATGACTTGAGAATTTGACGTAAAATAGAATCTTGTTAATTACAGCTGTAAGAGAAGACGTAATTATCTTGGATCGTTTACGTGTACAATCTCTTGCGAAGTGATTTCGTAGTCAAAATGCAAGTTGTAACGAATGTCGGTCTGTCAGCTTTCACACGTACCAGTTTTCACACGTGTGGCTCAGGCGCATTATAGACTCCGTAAAATACATTCCGGGGAACGAAAATCGCTCGTTAAAATTTTAACGCGCCTCGAGTCGCTATTAGCGACGTACTGTCTTTTTTCTTTAATATCGAAGCGGCCAATGGTCGCATAGGTTAGAACTACGCGCATTAAGTATCTGGAGCATCTAGGAAGCACGCGCCGCGTTCTTTATCTTATTATCTTTTGGATACGCCATCTGCGGTCGGCAACAAGATTCGGAGCTGGACATTGGACAGTCGAGGCCCACGTGACAGTGAAAATTACGCGAATTAATTAGCTCGCGATTCCATTTACTCTTCCGCAATTGTTCCAACAACTTTTGATGCTCGAAACAATATGCTTTTAATCACAGGTTCCGGGCATGTAAAATCGAGACCACCACACACTTTGCCCCTAGGTGCGAATCTGGACTAAATATATTCGATTTTATCGACAAATTTTGCCTTTTGGTGCGAGTCCAGACTAAATTTGGACAATTCTGTCGATAAAATCGGATATATTTAGTCGAGACTCGAACCAAGGAGTAAAATTTGTCGATAAAATCGGGTATGTTTAGTCCAGACTCGCACCTATAGGGGCAAAGCCGTCGGTAAGGTGCAAGGTGTATGGCGGTCTCGACATTCGTCCGGGCCTTTGGCGATCTGTCCGTGGCGGTGACGTCGCGTCGCGCTCCGAGGAGTCCGAGGCCTCGCGAGACGTTGTCATGGCCGGTAGCTACAAGAATTATATGAAACTGCTGGAATCGTGGCCGTTGGACAAGAGCAAGGCTGGCAGGTAATTACGATGATAGCAGGCGAAGCGTTCGGGCTTGTCACGAACTCACGAGCCTTGACAACGTGTCGCTGTATATTTGCTTCTAAATATATCACTAGCTAGGTTAGAATTGACCCTTGGCTCTCGATAATTGTTGACGAGGAGAAGGTATATAGTTTCCATCAGTTGACTTTAATCTCGGTCTGGAAAGAGTAAGTTAAACCGAGATGAAAGTTAATCTGCGTCGATAGAAGCGGGCGTTAATTTGCGTGCTCAAGTTTCCCCGTCTTCCTAGCGATCCGCTTGACTCGGTGGCTTTTCAGGGACCTGGGGCAACACATTCGCGACCAGGTGAAGATCGCGTTTGCGAAGGGCGACGCTGCCAGGCAACCGAACCCGGAACAGTGCGATCGATATTATTCAAGCCTAAAGAGGATCTCGTCAAATTATTATGGGCAGCTTTATCAGCGCTCCCTGCTGAGCACCGCGAGCGGATTGACCAGGGAGCAGTGTAATTTGGCACTGACTCCGGAAATGCTCGAGTATCTGAAGGAGGAGGACAAGGGAGTATTTCGCAGATTATATTGGACGATAAAGACCCTCGGCAAAAAATGAGGCCTAGGCTCGTGTGTTTCGCGCATAAGTTTGGCAAGGATAGATGCTCTGTCGACAGGGCGCGTGTATTTCTAGCGAAGACCAATGTATTTCCGTATTTAGTAAACGCTAGGCAGTGTAGTTTTAAGCATGACGGCCTCCCCGACAGGAGTCTTCACGTGCCTGTTATGGCACAGGAAGTGCTGACGTCCATGGCCTTGTCGCCGGGCAAGACGTACGTGGACATGACATTCGGCGCGGGTGGACACGCCGCCAGATTGTTGGAGCACTCGCCCGATATAAAGTTATTCGCGCTGGACAGGGATCCTTCGGCGTACGAATGCGCGAAAGACCTGGCACAGAGATACCCGGGACAAGTGGTGCCTCTGTTAGGTAAATTCTCCGAGTTGCCGCGGCTGCTCAAAGAACACGACGTCAGGGAAGGTAGTATAGACGGCTTTTTGTTCGATTTCGGATGCTCGTCGATGCAATTCGACGTAGCTGGTAGAGGGTTCTCTTTAGCGAAGGACGGGCCGCTGGACATGAGGATGGACGGGTCTCGGTGTCCGGAACAGATTACCGCCGCGGACGTGCTGGAGCGGGCCACGGAGCAGGATCTGGCGCGTATCATAAAGGTTTACGGGCAGGAGAAGCGCGCTAAGAGAATCGCGCGCGCCATCATTGACGTTAGATACATGTGTAGAAAATTGGAGACGACGCGGGAACTGGCCCAGCTGGTCGAGTCCACCCTGGACGGCGAGATCAGGCGGGACAGCCTCGGTAGATTCGCGCACAGCGCCACGAAAACGTTTCAGGCGCTTAGGATCTTCGTGAACAATGAGCTCAACGAAATCAATTACGGTATACTTGTCGCGCAAGTCTATTTGAAACTGTTTGGCCGTTTACTAACGATCTCTTTTCACTCGCTCGAGGATACTGTAGTCAAGAGACATATTTCGGGAAACATAACTGATAATCTGGCGAATACCGTGGCGTTGAAATACGCGCATCACGGTAAGATGTTCGATAAAGGCGAGGTCGAAAAGTTGACAGAGTCACCGTGGAAAATGATGCACACACACGTCCTGACGCCCACGCCCGAGGAAATTCAGACAAATCCGAGATCGCGATCGGCGAAATTGCGCGTTGTCACGAAAGTGAAGTAAACGTCTTTTATGAACAATGTATTAAAGCTCGTAATAGTTGACGCTTTCTTATGACTGTACAAACTTGTTGCGACGACACACCTGGAAAATGTACACGACACGTTTGTTTTAACAGGACGTACTGCCGTCATGCTGTACATAATAAAGAATGTGAGCCGAGAACAATAGAAGAATTTATTGGCGATTATGTATAGACATATGAACTTGCTGAGGAATTGTTAATACGCATTATGTATTGCAAAGATGCTCTTCGTTGAAAAAAGAAAGTAGGTATTTAAAATAGGCCTTCTATTTCATCCGTTTCGCCGTTCCAGTCCATGTCGTAGATACTTGGTCTGGTCGACAGTCCGGGCATCATCATAATCTGAAATGCGTAGTGAAGTAACGTAAGAATTTTGTAGACAATTTTGTTACCCACTGGATAGCCGAGAAAATTATTCACCTCTCCCACCATGGGAACGACAAATCCGGCGCCGACCGAAACGAATATGTCCGTGATATCGAGGGTGAAGCCGGTTGGTGCACCTTTGATACTTGGATCTCCCGTTAACGAATTTGATGTTTTCGCCATACATATTGGGAGCTTGTTATACCCTAACTTGTTGTAGTTTTCAATTTTTTTCTGCACCTGTAACGGCAAACGTTTATACACTTGACGTAATATTAGAGTGTCGTACGTAACAGATAAGTTTGCCGAAAGAAAATTTAGTAAAATTGCCTTCACATGGAACACGTAAGATCCAGATATCTTTAATAACATTGGCAATATTTTGTGGCAGCAGTTTATACGCATGCCGTAAAAATATTTGCTTACCTTCTCCGCGAGAACGACCTGGCCAGCGCCGTATATCTCTTTGGCGATCTTGGTAATCTTTTCTTCGATGCTGCTCTCGAGGTCGTACAACAGCTTGAAATTAGTTTTCTTTTCGGTAGCGGCTATCACTGCGTCCGCAAGGGCTACGGCACCTGCCCCACCTTCGGTCCAATGAGTGCATATTACCGCATCGGTTGCACCGCTCTGCAACGCCGCTTGCCTAACGAGATCTAGCTCCGCTTGAGTGTCGGTACTGAAAGATTAACATGACATGCTCATCAGTGCGATCGATTATATTAATTCACACGCAGTTTGTATCCATATTGTTTATAAAATTTACATAGGATGCTCATACGCAGGGAGATTTTTCTCTTAAAATTTACCCTGAAGATCGTGTAACAACATAGCATTTTGAAGAACTTTATGAGAGTTTTGAAATTTTACCATACATTTCACCAGTAATTATACTTGGTACACATTTTACTAGTAAAATATATGGTAAAATTTGAAAAACTCGTAAAAATCTCGGAAATGCCACGTCGTCCCACGATTACATGACTTTCAAGATAAACTTTAAGAGAAATTCTCTCCGTGTATATACAGAATTTATTTTACGACGATTATATAATCATTGTGAAATAAATTCTTATAACATCTTGAAGTTCTCGGCTAGCGTGAAAATTTGGTAGCCTAGTGAAATAAGGATCACAAGAAAACGTTCATAGAAATAGTGCAAAGAAACCGAAGGAGAAACCGCTGACCAAAATCTTGAAAACCAATGCCCACTAATGCCCAGTGGGCATTACTTTATCTTATTATCTTCTTTTATCTTACTTATCTTGTTTTATCTTATTTTATCTTATTGTATCTTATTTTATCTTTATAATGCCTCAGCAAGACGTAATGCCCCAAAAATGCCCTAGTAATGCCCGGTAATGCCGCAAATCTGTACACCACAATGCCCTCAGCGGTTTCCCCCTCGAAAGAAACAAATACGGAGTCAAGACTAGCGTCCTTGTAAATTCGACTTTTGCTGCCATCATTTATTTACGAGAGAAAAGCACACCTGTGAGAGTTGATGGCGACCACTACGGGCATGCCGTATTTCAGACCATTGCTGATGTGTTTTTGCAAATTTGGCAGGCCCTTTCGAACGAGTTCGATATTCTCCTCGATATACTCTCTCTTCAGCGGTGCCCCGGTCGTTACTGCCGGCCCACCACCGTGCATCTTCAACGCTCTGATAGTCGCCACGAGTACGACGGCATTCGGTACATATCCGGAAGTACGACACTTGATGTCGAAGAACTTTTCCATGCCGATATCCGACGCGAATCCGGCTTCCGTTATTAGGATACCTTCCGGCCCGACCAATTTTAAAGCGATAGCGTCAGCGAGAATCGATGAACAACCGTGGGCTATATTGGCGAACGGTCCAGTGTGCACCATTACTGGTGTACCTTCCAATGATTGCATAAGTGTTGGTTCTATAGCATCTTTTAGCAGAATCGCCATTGCTCCCGTCATACCCTGAGGATCGAACAAATATTTAGACGGGCCGCAGATTGTTTTCCTTGTGCGCGATTACGAAGATACGAAGAACATTGTGAACGGTTTGCCCACGTCTAGTTGCAATCGTGTGCACTTAAAATTATTAAATATAGCTCGACAAGATAGACGACAAAAAGAATGATTGCTTCATACAAATGGTAGTAATGTCCGATAAATAATTTTAGGTACGTTCTACGTATATAAATTTTATAATTGTACTGACGAAATCATCAGCGGTTAAAGGCTCGCCGCTTTTGCTAAATCCGACGACGATGTTACCAAGCCGCCTCTTCATATCATCGACGCTGGTTGACAGTGCGAGGATTGCCATTATTTCAGACCCGACGGAAATGCAAAACGACGTCTCTCTTGTCCTGCCTTTCTCGGTCGGGCTCTGGCCAATGGTGATTTTCCGCAAAAACCGATCGTTAATATCCACCACTGTGCAAATGATATCAATTGTAATACAATATCGTTTTTTTAGTATCTACCGTTCTTCAGGATATACCGCTCTTATATCGCACCTCGCGTCCACGTGATATTGTTTGGATCAATGTCGAGCCGTGCGAATCGACGTTGCTCCTCCTCCGTGAGTGAGTTCGGGTCGGTTTTCGTGATGCCAAGTTTTTGCAGTCGTTTCAGCTGGATCTTGGAGAACTTTCTGACACCCTTGATCGTCGGCACCAGCCGATCGTACAGAGCCTTGTCGTTCTGGGTCGATTCGTGGAAGTATCGCGCGTCAATTTGCGCCGCCATAAGATTGTTCGCGGCGCTAACAGCATGAATGTCCCCGGTCAGGTGAAGATTGAATTCCTCCATCGGTATTACCTAGTCAACAAAGTCATCCCTAGTTAGTCCACGATAATGAACAGCGATAGTGTCTTCGTAAACCTCGATAGTGCCGTTATCCGAAGAAAGCCTCTGTACCTGCGAGTATCCTCCTCCGGCGGCTCCTCCTTTAACGCCGAACGTAGGTCCCTGGCTGGGTTGTCTGACGGTGAGGAAAGAATTTATGCCTCTGTGCGCCGTTAGTGCTTGCACCAATCCGAGGGAAGTCGTGCTCTTTCCCTCGCCGAACGGCGTTGGCGTGATGCCCGCCACCACGACGTACTTGCCATTTGGTTGATTCTTCAGTCGTTTCAGCACGCCGAGGCCGACCTTGGCCTTCTTGTTGCCGTAAGGGCTGAACTCGTTCGCCAGCAGCCCGATCTCGTCGGCCAGCACGGCGATCGGTTTCGGCTCCTGACTCCTGGAGATCTCGATGTCGCTCGGCACAGGTTTCACGAGATTCAACTTAAGAATCCGCAATTTCCAGTGGGTACTGAGAAGCTTCTCCGCCGACTTTTTCGCGGATATCACGGTGTTTTTCATCAACATCGCCACTGTCATTGGCCCAACGCCGCCCGGCACCGGTGTAATGTACGAAGCTACTTTAGCAGCTTCCTGGTACGCGACGTCGCCCACTAAACGCTGTCCACTTTTCTTCGTGGGATCTGAAACGTTTCTAACGTTACATCGATCGGGCCAGTAGATTCTTTGATTAGGTTTGTTATGTCTCAAGGGTTTTCTATAAAATTATTTTAAATATAAAAGGGAGAATGAGAGGATACACTTTAAAATGAAATTACACATGTACCAAACTAATACAATGTATCTATTTGGTGATAAGTTAATTCATGTGTATTATCTCATATTTTTCGGAGATTAATGCTTTACGCACTTGTTTTATCGGAAACTAACGCGTTTGCATGACGCACGAACTCGAACGCGACTGATCTCGAACTAAAATATCGTCTATGTTTTCGGTATTTTTGTTTTTCTTTTTCTTTGTGACCTGAGATGTACGGATTTGGTAATATTTGCCTCGTGTCGTAGTGGTAGAGCGGGAGAGGAGAAGGGAGTGGGAGCTAGAGAAAAAGAGTGATAATGTTAATGTATGATACGAGCGTAATACACACTAGCGCGTTCACAGTGCACTCTGGCAAGTGCACACGTGATAACTTCATCAATTTCAGAAACATTTCCCAATTATTCAAGACATTTCATACAGAATTCTCCGTTAATTTTAATAACAGATTCTCTGATCGATTTGAATTCGATTAATTTATCTTTCAAACGTGTTGTGAAAAAAAAGACAGAGCCGCGTACCTGGTATAGGATTGATGCCGCAATCGATAACAACGGCGCCCGGTTTAATCCAATCACCCTTAACTAATTTGGGTTGGCCTATGCCAACCACTAAAATATCGGCTTGACGCACCTGAAAAGAATTTAAAACAATATCACAAGTCTTCATATACAGAACAATCTATCAAGCCGAAACTTACACACTCAAAATAATTCTCGTTTTCTTATATACGCAACAATTTTGTAATCTTCTTGGAAGTATTTAATAATCTTAAGTTTCGGCAACATTACAGTTTTATTTAATTACCGAAAAATATTATAATCCACTTTAAATATACTACTATTTACTATACTCTTCGATTTGAAAATAAGTTATTTTCTATCCAATATTCCAGTTTCTTCTCCATTCAAGAAAATTATTCTTAAATAATAGGAATACGTTTTTCTTGTTGAGCTAAATGACTTCATTCAAACAAGTTTTCTCCGTTACAAGTAATACGAAATCGTGAAATTGAACGATTGCTTACAACGTCAGAAAGATTCTTCGTTTTAGAGTGGCAGACCGTTACAGTGGCATTATGCCATTTTAATAGTTCGGCAACGGGCGTGCCGACAATCTTGCTTCTCCCTAAAACAACGGCTTGGGCACCGGCGATAGTCACGCCGCTCCTAAAAGTTGCGTAATTGCATACCAAAATCAAATGTCAAAATAATTTACTGAGATCAATAGCAAACCTCTTAATTAATTCGATGCAGCCGTTCGGAGTGCATGGCAAAAATCCGGACATGTCGCCGATCGCAACTCGACCTTCGTTGATAGTATTTAGTCTGCAATTGAATAATTATATACCCGGATGAGTAAAACGTTATTAATATACCAAGGGAAATTAAAACATTTTTTTTTATTTTTGAAAAATTCCCCTTGGTTGATTACCACTGGCGACAAAAAGCTACTCAAATTGTTTATATATACATATATTGCAATTTTGTGATAAGAATTGTTAATAGGGTAAAGATTTTCGCTAAAATTATCATTACGGTATACAATATTTCTCTCTCTAAATCTCTAAAACGGAACATATTGTCCAAATTTGCGCTTATTACTATCGTATTACTATCAAAGTGGTATGTCAAAGGGCACGTTGCGTCTGGTTTCTCTCTTGTTTATCGCCGTTACAAAACTTCTTCGATATATCACGCTTTCGCAATAACGTATATATCTACATATCTGCTGTATACACCAAAGATATTATCAATGACGAGAAATCATTAATTTAAAAAGGTCTTATTATATTAAAATTGAAATTCTGTTAATATTAAAGTTAAATTATTACGAGATATGCGAATAATTTTACTTAAAATAGAAAATTAAACTAGTAGCTAAACCAGATATTAATGAATCCAGAATCGATATTGTTAAATTGAGAGAGAACATTTGATACTGTAATAATTATAAATTTTTATTTGTACGAACTACGAGGAGCCTCTCAAATAATCACGCGTTTGTGTGCGAATTTTGGGGTATGTGTGATCTTTTTATTTTTACTATTTTAACACAGAATATACTTTCTCAACAAATGGGAATAAAGGTCTATTACACGCCCTGCATAAAGAAATAAACGTTAGTTTAAATAATAATTATATATTTACCCATCGACGTCTTTTTCCGGCGATACCAGATCGGTGATTAGGTGAGAATTGATTTTATTGATACTGTCAAGCGGCATTTGCACAATAATCCCGTGAACGTTGGGATCATTATTCAGTTTGGTAACTTTGTTGATGAGCTCTATCTCCGTCGTGGTGTTAGGAAGCTGACAACGTTGAACATCGATGCCTATTTCGCGGGCCGCGTTAGTTTTCATCTTTATGTAGACATTCGAATCTTCCCTTGCGCCTACCTGGACGATAGCCAGGCCGGGTGCAAAGTCAGGCAATTTCTCTTTTATGGCGCTCACATCTCTGATTAGGCCGTCTCGGATTTCTCTAGAAAGTTTTATTACGCGCGTTTGTTAGATTCGCATAAATTGCATTTTGTGAAAAATGAAAAAGGAACGATGTTCTTTAGAAAAATTTTAAAAATTTCTGTAATTTATTCAAGATTAATAATTTCTTAAGGCTTTTAGGCACCTCTATATTGCTTATTCTGCGGGAGATTTATTTTCAATTAGTTCTATCTTTATAATTGCACTGTTTACTACAAGCAAATGTACTTGCACGTAATGAAAAGTTTCAATCTACATTTGAATTTCGCGGGCAATTTCTAGATACCTGTTATAGATACATATAATAGATATTTATAATGATATTTTATATTTTTTATATGGATATAGTGACACAGCGAATTGTCGCGAAATTTCGATACTTACATTGGCGTTATCACTCTGCTATTTTCTTTTACATTTCATTATACATAGAAATACACATCTTCACATATTAAAAATGCCATAACCTCATAAAGACACATAGTACTGTGCGTATATCGTATGCATATTATTTGTGTTAAAACTGTTTATGCATTATCCAATATATTATTCTCATATGTTCCTATATTCTGATTAAAAAACTTTGTGAATATTTAATATTCTGCTGATATTAGCCTCAACATTTTTTACACACAACTTTGCTAAATCGCTGTGTCACTGTATCGAATACAGCAAATTGCCCGATCGAATAAACGAATACACTATCATTTTTCTCTACGGTGCGACTTACTTGCGCGAAATATATTAACGTTACTCACTTTGCCAATTGGGTTCCAGACAATACAACTCCTCGTACGTCCGTGGACATGGCTCTGGTTAGAAGTCTGAAACAATTTTTTTGAAGTTTTTATAACTTTGTAGCTGGCTAATCGTAGCTAGACTTAGTAGATTTAAGATTAGTTAGCACTACTTGTTCACGCAAATCGGCGAATTTGCCCACGAATATAAACCTCTATGTTTATTGACTGACTGGAGCAGATCAAATGGTTCTCGTTAGTGTCTCCGACCGGTTTACAAGTGGTTCCCTGACTTATACAAGGTGTCTTAAAAGTACGTATTACCCTAAAATTAATTTACTCGAGTAAATTGTCAAATTCTTTACGAGGAGAATAACTTTCCGTCTATTTAAAATCCGATTTACAATAATCACCGTTATAAAATATTTCATTAAACTGTTTTTAGCGAAATTGTTATGTAACTTAATCTTGAATTGTACGAGCTTTTAATTATTTATTTTCTAAATTCAAATTTACTGACGGCTTCAAGTGATACTCTTAATTATGCGAGACAAACGTAAATATTGCTTCGAGTAGATTTATCGATACACATTTTTCTGAAACACCTTATACACGCAGTTATCGGAGCCGTGTTACGTTACATCACTCACGATGTGATTCTTATACATGCATAACGCGCGCGATACAAAACGACGTAAAATTACCGTCACACGAAAAGATCGAAATTCAAATTCTGATGATATTCTTTGTGACGGAGCTTCGCCGACTCAGCGGTTCTCATTTCATTTCGCGGACGTTTTAATATCTTACTCTGTTTATACGCTATAAACGTTTTATAAAATACTTTCTTTAATTTCTAATTATAAGATGCTTGTAAAGTTGACGACTAGCCATGATTTTTATTGCGATTTTTTTTTATTACAATTTTTGCGTCTTTATAAAACACTTTAATGGAATTTGAAACGTGAATTTTTAAGTAAATTCTTTTTGATATAGAAAACGATTATTAATTAGAATAAAATATGATATCGATTAAATAAATGTGTTAGTCTTACTTAAGGGCTCCGGATATTCGTATCATGGGACGATTTAACGCAACGACTCGACGACAACTGCTAGTTGTACTTAGTTTTCGCCGATAGATGCAACTTTGCTAAAGTGCAAAAAGTAATACTAGGAAATATCGTGTGTGTTTGCCAATTATGCATATTACGATATTCGGCGCGATAAACTCTGACACGTACAATCAGCCGTGCACTCGATCGAGCTGGCATAATTATGCCATTTTCATAGATTTCTATATTTAATCTGTACACGCTGTATGAATCTGCGCGATGCTTCTTATTTAATTATCTAAATATTCATTCAAATGAAAATCATTTATTGTTATACGCAAATTTGTACAATTATGCTATCGCCGTTTGATCAATCACGCACGGTATGTGAGGCGCATATTTAAATGCAACACACTCGTTATCTCGTACGCCACAGACGTGGATACTTCATCGTAATCAAAATCTATTCGTTATAAACATAATGGCACTGAACGCATTTCTATTTTGTCTTCAATGATATTATCTAATCTTGGGATCGCGCAAATATGTTTGCCAGTAAAACATGATCATATGATAAATACAAATAAATTTTCTTTGCAATATTTTTGTTACACGAACAGCAATAAACACAAAACAGTTATTTGTAGCAATTACAATCGGACGTCGAAAAGTAATGTTAACTATTGATTGTAATTATTTTTCTGGAATTGAAGTTTAGCATTATTAAGATTTCGGTACAGCCATTTTGCACGAAAGATGATATAAATAATAATATGGTTAAGGCGCGATAAAAGAATTTGTATTTAATCAAATGATTCGGTTCAATTCAGGGAGATTTTACTTATTGTTAGAATTTAATCGATTTACCAGCGGTTAGTCTGTGTCGCGCATCAACGTCTTCATCTCTTCGTGGTGATTGGCGGATCTGTAATATCGTTAGGCCGCGGTTTTGATCGGCCACTGTGCAATCTCGCCACTGGAGAACAGAACAATCGTTGAAGATTAGTAAGATTAACCAAGACCCTCTTTCCGCCTGGATTGCTTATTCGCTGAAAGATCGCGAGTCCGAGAAAGGACCGTGATTTTGGTATAAACGCACGCTTTGACATAAACTCATTTTCTTATATTTGTGTATAAGCTTAATCGCAAAAATTTCTCTCTTTCTCTTTCACGCAATAATGGTATTCTTTAGTTTTAGTTGTGAATTTTTAACAAGTCACTTTTATTTTCATTACTTGAAAATTAATTGATATATTGGTCGTAGCGGAAATCCGGATTTTTGAATTATACACGGATGCGAAAGTTGTAGAAAAAGTAGAATTTAAGATAAAATAGAATGCAGATGTTTCTTAAAGTTAATCTTGTCATATAATTCAGATATACAGAAGGTATAATCAGTGGAGTATCACGGAAAACAGTGAATATTCACTGATTCACAGTTGTAAGTATAGCACTGAATTATTCAGTGTACAACTGTAGTCACAAGGAAAAAAGAATGATATTGTATCAACAAGATCAGTGCAATTGAAATAAAATCGTTGAAATAACATCAGTATTAATAAATGAAAAACATCAGATTGTCTTAACAATCTGAATATTTAATTTAATGCTTAAAATTAAAATCCATAGCAAATACAATTGAGTGAATTATTTACGTTTGTGGCAGTCCGTGACATTAACGTTTAATTCAAGCAACTTCATTTTGTTTAATTCAACAGCATTTTTTTTCCGTGCAGTGATAATGCACTGATTGACTTTTAGAGAGTGCCCTTTTCTATATTATCTGATAGATATTATATACTTATATTCAGTTAAACTAAAGTTGCTCTGGCATATTTAATTCCAAATGTAGCTGTTTTAAGTAAAAGTTAAACGGAGTTGTCTACCGTTCACATTTCAAAAAAATTATTCAAGCATCTATAAATATTAATTAAGCTAAAAGGACATTGCTGAATTGCGCCAAATGATTGATAACGGTTAATAAAATACTATCATTAGTTTCGGCCGATGGATCTAACTTAAGATAAGATATATCCAGCTCATCGAAACGCTTGTCCCTTACGGCGCATCGATCTCGTACTCCTCCGAGACGCGTCCGAATCGTTCCAAGTTCCGACGATCTCCTGGACACGACCTTCGGCAGCTTTGCGCCTTGCGGGCCTCCTGCTCGTAACTTAAGCTTAATTAATTCCAAGTCGCAGCGGCTAGATCACATGGAAATTGGCGGTCTACGCGAAATTGTCAGATCGATGCTGGCAATCGGCATCCATAATTGCTTGACGCTAGTTCCGCATAGGACTCCATAATCTAGCCGCCCCGCCTTCGAGGAAATCCCGTGGGTGCTTATATCGTCTTTGCTGGTTGGATGGACACTCTCTCTCCCTCCTTCTCTCGGTCTGTCTCTCATACTCACTCAATTCACTCACGGATCTCTCATCGTGTCGTTTTTTCACCCATACTCTCATTCATCCTCGCCCTTCTCAACGATTCAATCCACGAATCTTGCCAACGGCAATCTCGCATGGAATAGATACCGCGTCACGAGGCATGTCTTTCGAATTTAGCTATTCTTCCTAACTACCCCTCAAACTACTTCGTCTACTTAATGTCACTACATTTCTGTCGTTACGGTTCCGAGCGAATTTGAAAGTATTCACTTATACAGATTAGATGGTCCAGCTGCTAGTAGGCTGACCGGTTTGAAAAGAGAACCAGAATCAAAACCGGAATCGCAATAAAAATCTTTGTAGAAGATACATAATGAAACACGTTTTTCGCCGTGTTTCCGGCTTCCTTGATCATTATAAAATCTGAATATTATTGTTAAACAATTTATCTGAAATTAATATATTTTATCGGAATCTTTATTGCTCAAGAATTTGGTATGCCTTTCTCTCATCATGGTCTCTCTCTTTCTCTCTCTTTCTGTCTCTCGTGGTAATTGAAGCCTCTTGATCATCGAGGTCAGCAGAACTAATACATCTACACATCGCGAGAGAAATCTTCGGCTGCGGCTATATCGAGCGACGCAGCTTGCTACGAAAAGGGGTAGAGTTTGTAGCTTCGTCGCGGCGTAGGGATACCTACAGATTCCAACTTCTGCGGATAGTTGGGCTTAAGGGTTTCAGGGAGAAACTAGCCTTGGGGTGACTGGAGGCTACGGATGATCGGGGCTGAAGCAAACCGTCGGAATGGGTGGCGCGAGGGGGTCGGCGAGGAGGATGGGCGAGGGGCCCAAGGTGTAGGGTGAAAGGTCGCTGCAGATCTCGGAGAGCGTAGCAACTCGGACCGCAAATTCCTTTACGGTGTTCAGTGTGCGGCGCATTCGCAGTTAGAAGCAAGGAATCGGCTCGTTTTCGCTAATAGGGCGCGTCCAACTTCGCGCCGGGCAACCCGCGCCGCTGAGCTTCGGTGATACTTCGAAGGGCCGCGCGTTGTCCCAATTCTCCGCTACGTTTCCGAGATTTCCGTTTCGGGATTTCTATGTTTACCGCGCCGCCGGACACGCAAAGCTCCGTAGAGACCGCTTGCGAACGCTCGCGTATTGATGGTCCATTACGTTCGTTTAAATTATCGATTTAAACGATCGGCCATGCAGATATTATCTTTTCTCAGTTTTCGATCCATCCTAATGAAATGTATCTTATAGTTTGTAATGTTAACGCGTTTAGGATTATTTTATTTTTAAAATAACTCAATTATAGTCTCATGTATATGTATAGACTCTTGCAATTGATTTAACTTGAACTTATAGTTTACTTAATTAAAAATTGTGCCTATATTTTATTATTATTATTTTATAATAATTTATTATTTATAATTCAATTTTTTAAATATAATTTTAGGGTATCACTAATGACGGTTTATTAGTATCATTTATTGCTTAATTTGTTTCAATAATGCAATGCGATCTTTATTTATTCAAAAATGTATTCAATATTTATTAATACAATTATTGTTAGATAAGTCACGCTATATTGAAAGTGCGACAGTATCGGGACGCTCATTCTCTCGGTACGTTTATCAAATTCCAATACGGCCGCTTCGCAATTTGGTCACTATACAGGTGAGACTCGTGACGTATTTTCCATCAGCGATCCTTAGTGGGGTGCAAGGGGAAATTAATGACCAGTCGCCACTCCCCCGCATCTAGGCGATATCTCGAAAAGAGAAAGAGAGAGGGGGGGGGGGAGAGGCAGAGTATTACCGGATTGAACGCGACCGGCAATAAATAGATGATTGAACGCAGTCCCGGCGTCAGGCGGCGGAAGGGATATGAAATTAATACAAGTCCTACAGGCCTACCCTTGGAAGGCGTTTATACCTTCTCGCGGAGGTATTTCTGGCATCCTTAAGCTCCTCGAGCGGAAGGACCCTTCGATGCGAATATCAAGGAAATTAGAGACGTTAGTAGGCAGGTCTGAATTATCAACGCTTCGCCAGACAGTCGTACGGCACTGTCATTGGCACATTCCGTGATTCACGGTGATCATTACATATATCTGCGGCTTCTGTGCGATTTTACAGGCTCTGAAGAGCGCACACGTCGCGCGGTAAACGCGGTTTTTACGCCTCGTGAGATCGCGCGTCGAACAAGGAACAGAGAAAGGGTTGGATCTCGCGGAGAAAAGTTGGATCTCCGTAAAATTGCCGCGATGAATTATCGCTCGCGAAAATTGCACTAAAGCGAATTAAGCGTCGCGAAATACTGCGCTCCCGCGATCGTTGCTATTTTTCCTGCCGTGGTAAAATCTATGGCGAAAGTTTGAAGGCTCTACGAGATTGAAAATGCGTCGGGCGCGCGTAGCTTAAACTACGGGAAGTTTATATGGGATAACTTTGCGGCAAGCTCACGAAATAGGATTGACATTATCGCTCTGAGTTTCGCTACTCATGCTGATTGGACGCGGAAAACCGATAGCTGCGTAATAAGTCCGTCTCGAAATCGAAAGTGCGTTTTTATACAGCATTACATTTCTTATGCAAAGATCAGTTTTTTGAATGCCCGCAAGCATTACACTATGTTAGCAAGACATAGATATTCAAATACTAAATGGTTTTGTTGAAATCGAATGCAAAAAGGGAAAGAGATGGACGCCAGTCTTG